GGCTAGGCTAGAGACAACCGCTAGTGCTAGTGCTTACCCTAGCATTGCCTATATATATATTATACTATGCGAGAATACTTAGCTTAAGTATTCTCATGCGTACCTTTTGGTACAGTGGGGAAAGTCGTATAGTATCGGCTTGGCAGGCGGGGCGCCTACCTTATTACAGTAGCTGCTTTTATATGCTTTTTTTTTTTTAGCTATATAAGCTTTCTTACGCTTCTTAGCCTTTTTACGCCTAGTCTTTTTATCTTTTTATTAACATAAAAGCTCTATAGTAGCTTCCTTCTTAACTTATTAATTATGTGCTTATTAAACCTTTCTAGGACTATAAAATACAGCCCTACTATAGTACTGCTTAGGAGCTATAAGTAGAAAAAGTTTACTATGCTTCTACTTTTTTTTCTTATTAACTAAAGCTTTTATAAGGCCCTAATTCTTTATCTAAAGAGTTATAACCTGCATTAAGAGACTATGTATAGTATTACTAAGCTACTTAGCCTGCTAGTTAGAGATATTACTAACTACCTTATGTAAAAGCTTATCTATGTGTCTCTAATCTTAAGCAGTAAGAGCTAACTAAGAGCTCTTACTAGAAAAAGGTCTACTAGTACTAGTAGTACTAAATTAAGTAAAGACTCTCTTAGAGTTAAACAGCGCTAGGCTATAGGCTTTAAAGCTAGAGAGTATATTCTTCTTAGTAAATAAAGTCTACTAGGCTTTATTAAACAAGCAAAAAAAGTCTTACTTTGTAATAGCTGTAAACTTTATTAATTTATATATAAAACTAGCTAGTTTATTTAAATAAGCTGTTACTAGTAGCTTAAACAGGCTAACATTAAGAGGCTATAGCGTATAGGTTAAATAAGGTAGATAGATAGCTAGCAAAATCCTATTCTAGTTATAGTAGTTAATAAACTTTATAGAGACATAAAATTTATAGCTATCTAAAATTAATAGCTTATACACCTAATAAGCTTTCTTCTTTGTCTGTTTATTAAACAGCTGTTTAAGCTAGTGTAGGCCTAAATTATTATTTATCTAGCTACTAGAAGATAAGGCAAAGAAGCACTTATATACTGCTAGGTTAAAATCCTGTAACTAGCTATCTTAGATGTTACTAGTGCTAGCTTAGTAGATAAGGTCTAGAGAGAGCGTAGAGCTGTTAGCGTAGATATAAGCTATATAAGTTATCTACTTATAATTGCTGTTCTATATAGCTTACTTAAGGCTACCTTTTTTATATCTCTGCCTAGAGAAGATCTGCTTTGTTTTTAATAGTACACTAATAAAAAAGCCTTTCTTATTTATATTATACATATGCTGTAGCTCTATCTTATACTCCTAAATCTTCTACTGTAGTAGCTTAAAATAGAGCTTATATTTAAAGGCTAAATTAGCTTACTTCTTATCTTAATCTAGGCTAAAGGTCTAGTAGGTAACTAGGGAGATTTAATGCTATTAAAGAAAGTAATTAAGCTAGACTTTTTTTACTTCTTTACTGCAAAGTTCTAAAGCAAAATTACGTAGCTATTACCTTATAGGTAGTAGGCTACGCTTATAAAGCTGCTTAATATACTTTGTAAGCTCCTTCTCTTATTGCTTATTAAGTAGTTAACGTACTTCATGGGCGAGTTGCTCACACACCTGAGTCGCTTACTTTTGCCAAGACCCCACTAAACCACCCTTTCTACACTAATGCATTCCCCATAACACTACTTAGACGCGCTAAAAGAATGTTAGATACAGCTTACACTCTAAGCTTTTAAATAAAACATAAAACTCTTAAAAAAATGTGCTATAGCTATGTACAAAGTTTTATAAAAGATAATAAATAACTATAGCGCTAGATAACTTTTACAAGCTAATTCTACAGCTAAATTATAAAGGCTAGGTAATAAAAAGAAGCAGGTAATTATTAAGACTATACTTAAGCTATATATGTAAGGAATTTCCCCTTAGATAGTATTTATAGCTAATATAGCTAATTCTTTGCGCGCTAAGTATAATCTAGGCTATGTTTATATAAACTAGCCTAGTACATTTGTAAAGCATTATTTAGAGCTTAAAGTAAAGTTTTAAGCGCAAGTATAGTTAAAAGATATCTAGCTAATTATAAACCCTATCTTGCTAAAGTTGTATGTGTTATTATCCTAGATGCTATACTTAGCTTTAATATTCTCTACAAGGCTAAACCTGCTTTAAATTACCCTAGGACTCTTGCAGAGAGCTTTTTTATAGTTATACTTACACTTAAACATTACTTTAAGCTCTAAATAACACTTTATAAACATACTAGGCTAGTTTATGCAAACATAGCCTAGATTACGCTTAGTGCGCAAAGAATTAGCTATATTAGCTATAAATGCTATCTAAGGGGAAATTTCTTGCGCATATAGCTTAAGTATAGTCTTAATAATTACCTGCTTCTTTTTATTACCTAGCCTTTATAATTTAGCTGTAGAATTAGCTTATAAAGGTTGTCTAGCGCTATAGTTATTTATTATTTTTTATAAAACTTTATATATAGCTATAGCACATTTCTTTAAGAGTTTTATGTCTTATTTAAAAGCTTAGAGTGTAAGCTGTATCTAACATTCTTTTAGCGTGTCTAAGTAGTGTTGTGGGGAATGCATTAGTGTAGGAAGGGTGGTTTAGTGGGGTCTTGGCAAAAGTAAGCAACTCGGGTGTGTGAGCAACTCGCCCATGAAGTACGTTATTAGTTTTTATACTGCTCTGCACAGGAGCCCTAGACGCCTTGCTAATGCTTTAATAGCCTAGTCCTTTTAACACTATACTTTTTAGCTATTATAGTAATATTAATTAATTCTCTTAGTTCTAGCAATTTTAAATATGCCAGCGCGTCCTTAATACAGTCCATATTAGTGGAGTTGCAATAATGTCAAAAATCAGCAAAATCTGGTGTGTGCGTGCGTCAGGCGAGACCGTGCGTCAGCTGATTAAATTTAGTACCCCTTGGCATCGGCATCAGATCGGGTCAAGAGAACGATAGGACACTTTCACTTCTCCTCATCTATATAGTACGGGCTGGTAAGTAAGAGTAAGTCAAACTCTGAATTTTATTTTTATTTTTACTTTCCATTTTCGACCCAAGATTTTAAGGGATAAACTTGCCGCCATCTCGGCACATTCGCGTGAAGGATACCAGTAAAGAATTTTCTCGAGACAAATCGTATTCAAAAGCACACCTATACTTCTGTCCTTCCTTTTATTAAGTGAATCCCTCAATAACCTAAAGAACGTATGTTTCTGAGGTGCTAGATTAGAACTAAGTCTAAAGGGCCACGTTCTCATCACCATCGGAACCCCAATCAGGATAGAACTCTTCGGATTGTTGAATCCTTTCAATGCATTCAACGGCGCCAAGAAGTAATTCTCCAGGAAGCCCCATGCGGTATCCAATCACCTTTGCATCCGCAATGGCACATCAGTGCTTTTGTAGCCCTTAATAATTGATCTGGGGTTGCCAGATGCTCCGGTCTCGTCATCCTCTATGGGTTCTGATGTCGCTCTGGATGGCCGCATCTTTATATTACGGATAATTTTCCCTTGCTCAAAGCTACAAAATGGGGCCGAGAGCGGTCGAGATGATTGCCACTTCCTCTAATTAGTCCTCTTAGGCCTCCTGGTTGGTGACCTCGGGTCTTCCTTCCTGGCTTGGAGCCGTCTACTTCCTTCCATGAGATTTCTAAATCCTCCACTACTAACGCCTCCTATTCCTCTACTAAATCACCTCTTCCGGAGACACCTCTTATTATGCCATAGTCTATTCCCCTGCTAGGCTCTCTTCCACCTCTGCCGATTCCACTAGTAAACCCACCTCCTCTAGAGCTACTTGCTATTCCACCTCTTTTTTCGCTGCTAAAACTGCCCCTTTAGAGCCACCTCCCATACCTCCACTTCTACGACCACCTTTCATTCCTCAGCTCAAGCTACCTCTTCTAATGCTGAACATATTTGGGGTTCGTGGGATTCTTTGGGGGATTCTCCCTGTATTGCTTCTCCTCCCCATAGTTCCTCGACCACCGGACGAACTGGCCGCTATGCCACTAACCCTGCCACCTACTGGTCATACCAATCTTCTAGAGTCTGATGGGCTAGTGATTTGGTCACCATCCATACCACCTGCTAATGTCACGTCCTTTCGATTGCCCGACGAGCCATCGACCTGACCTCCATCCCTGCCACTTGCCAGTGCCCTCGTTCTTTGATTGCCTGATATGCTAGCTTTCTGGTATCTTCCCGAGAAATTGGATACCCCTTGCCACTTAGATACATGTTGAGACTTCGTAAGCTTATTTATGCGAGACTTGCTCTGCGTTTAAGATTTTGCGGAGTCAATGTGTATATTTGGCAGGCAGACGAGTCCGAGGAAGGATTATATTTGAGGGTCCCCCGTTCAGGAATGCACGCGAGTGATACTGGAGTTACGCTCACGGAAACTGACATGGTGTTCGCCTAGTCCGAGGACTTGAGGGGCGATGGTTTGCATATCTGGCAATGGCCAGTATTCTGGATAGATATTAAAAAAGAATATAGGGCGCCTGGTCAACGGTCCTTAATTTTCGTTACCATCGCGTTTTTCGTCTTTCCTTCTTCCTATTTTCCACTCCATATTTGCTTCCCTCATTTCCAAAGCATGGTTTCTACTGGGTCTGTACGAAATATTCTAACAAGCCAAGGAGTGCTCTGCATTCTTGCCGTATCAATTTATTTAAAACAACATGTTACCACAGAGGAAAGAAGTTTATAAGCAAGTGGATAATATTTTCTTCAAGATGTCCCCCAAGATCTAGCAACTAACCCCAAACTCACCAGAGCACTAATGATTTTGCATATTGAGGTCAACCCACTTCAGGACTTTTGAAACATGTTAGCTTCTTTCCAATATATAATTAGTTGCTTGGTTAATCTCTCCATCCTTATCTCATAATGCTTTAAATACACAAATGGTTTGGCTTCCCTCTAGTTTCCATCCTTTTCGACCAGTTCTACTCTACAATTCTATGACCTTCACTTCCTCTCCTCCACTGCAAATTACACCTGCCCTCTCTTTCACCTCCTCAGTCTCACAGCTCTTCTTGCTATCAAATTCAGGCCCCCTTAAGTCTGTAATAAGACGTCGTTCCCTCCATTTCCGCCGTCGAAATCCGCGTATGCCTGTTCTTTCACCTCGCGGTCGACTAAATCACGTGCCCCTATGGCGGCGCCTGTATATAAATCCGCCACCTTTAAACAAATGAAGTTTTCTTCTTCTCAACCTAAACGACCACAAAGCTAAAGCTCTCCTTCGGCCCGTCATGGCGTCGTCATCGTATGGCCTCCGGAGTCAGAGTGGCGGCCGGCGGAAGTCCTACGAGGACTACGCAGGCTTCCAGGGTATAGACCTTGCGAATGACCAAGACTCCTCGTATGACAGTCACGAATCGACGCGTGGGGGTACCCCACGCTCCACCGCCTCGGTGTGTTCTTTACCGCTCGGGTCTCGAGCTGATGTTAACATTCACAACGATGGTGAAGATGGCGATGGAGGGTACTCTCTATCCTTATCACCACTCAAGCAACCCTGGGATTTTACGCTTCCGGTGATCCAATACCGAGCTTTCCGCAACCATCCCATCCATTTATACCACTTCAACACTGTGCTGCTCTCCTTCCGCGATCTCAAAAACAGCTTCACAAGTCACGAGCTCGGCTGGCAACATTCACTGACAGGCCTCGATCCCGGCCGCGACTGGCGCATACCAGATGGCGATGAAATCCCCTTCGGATGCATTGAAGTCGGATATCTGTCGAACGTCTTTAGAGCTACAGAAAAAGCGCCGAAGTCAAAGGCGGCCCGGCTTCGCGGGTGTGCGATCGGCTTCCGTCTCCAAGAGGCGAGGGGTGAAGGATGTGTAATTGGATGTCCGATCGCGGGTATTGAGTGGTTTTGTTTCCGGAGACCAATGAAAGAGATGTTAGAGCAGATGACCGGTATGGGTGGTAGGAAGGTCTTCAACCTTGTGGCACATATCGAGAAAGGCTCTATGGATTGGAGCAATGAGCATCGGGAGTGGTATGAGTCTATGGTGGGTGGAGTCTACAAGCCGATGAAGTTGAGGTTGAAGTGTGGGCGGTGTGCCAGAAATGAGTTGCAGGCTGCCAATGCCGTGAAGATCGAAGGAGATGAGAATGGAGGTCAGGAAACGCGACAGGGAGATACAAAGCTTAAATTGAGAATACGCCTCGGGAGGAGTAGCAGGGACCATTCGATCTCTGTTGCGACTGGAGAGACCGAGGACCAGTATGACGAAGGCGAGGGAGGAAATGAGCTCGAAGAGGACTATGCCAGCAAAGCCCAGGAGCATGGAGAAGAAAATGAGCTCGACGAAGCGGAAGAAGATTCTGAAGAGGACGAACAGGACCAAGAGCCTGATGAGAGTAAAGAGGGACAAGAAGAAGCAGACGACCAGATTCCCACCGCCGCCAACACCAACCACAGACTCATGACTCCCGCTTCACTAGACGGTCGCGTGAGCACTTCAACAGCCTGTCGCATGAATAGGATAACCGAAAGATGGTATTAGGGAAGAGCCCCGTCCTGTCTAGTTTCGTTGAAGATGTGGTCCTCCGGCGGCTTCAAGTATGGTAGCTGAACTGCAAAGGCTACATCCTAAAATGTATTTCAGGAATACTAAAAAGAGTCCACAACAAATGACGAAGTGGAGTGACGTGAGGAAAAATGTTGGGGAACCCCAACAACACCCTTTGGAAATCCCTCACCACCAGACCGCGTGTCTTCGCGCGTGTTGTGACAAGCTCTGGGTTTCAGCTATCCTCAATGTTCCCGTGAACAGGAGCCACACCAGCTCTTCCAGTCAAGTGGCGCTTCGCGAGCGACAATATCACCACGTGCATATGTTCTGCAGTGCTGAAGTCGAGTTCACTAGCCTCCAATGGATCGTTTACGCAAGCGGCACCTCGCACCCCTCCCCAATCAAATTGCGTGCTTTCCCCTCCCCATTCCCAAATCTACGCGGGGAAAAAGCAACCCGCCCTTGCCAGATGCCCTACATATCCGTCCGTTGCCGCTCCTCCACTCACCTCTCTCTTCTCACCACCCCTACCCAATCAGCCGCATCCCCTATCCTCAGCACCGTTGTCATGTCTTCAGGTCTTGTATCTTCGTTCTTAGCCGCTATACAAGCTTCTCTATCAGTTTTGCTAGTTATTTCATATGGCGCCATCGCCGCCCGCTTATCTCTCCTCGACAACAAGAACGGGAAAGCTCTGAGCAAGATATGCGTCAAGATGTTCCTACCCGCCCTCCTCGTCGTAAAAATTGGGTCCGAACTGCACCCTGGCTCTGCGCACCGATACGTCATTATCCTGCTCTGGGCATTTCTGTGCCATTTCATTTCCTTCTTGATCGGGATTGCAAGCCATCTTTGGTTGGGTCTACCGGACTGGATCACAGCTGCAATTATGTTTAATAATACCACAAGTTACCCGTTGTTGTTGATTCAGAGTTTGGACGAGACAGGTGTGTTGAGGAAGTTAATTGTTACAGACGAGACGAGTCAGGAAGCGATGGAGAGAGCGAAAAGCTATTTTTTGGTGTTTGCGACCGTGTCTTCCTGTCTTACTTTTGCTGTGGGACCGAGGTTGATAGATACTGAGCATGCTCCTGATCCTGAAGACCAAAAATCAGAAGAAGACGAAGAAGAAGGAGAAGAGGTTGAGACAGAGAATAGTGTCGAACGTGATGGAATTCCAAACGAGGAAACAGGCCTCCTAGCTCCTCCAGGTCTCTCAGCAAGACATAGAAACGCGTCGGTTGCTAGTCTAACCTTTTTCCCCTCGAAGCCAAGGTTCACAACCTTGCCGTACGATCGCAGACCTTACTACATCCCGCGTCCAAAATGGAGAGACTTCTCACCACGTGCACAATGGTGGTTGCTCTTCTTGTACGACTTCCTCAACGCACCGCTCCTCGGCGCTGTCCTCGGTGCGATAATCGGTCTCACGCCTCCCTTCCACCGCGCGTTTTTCAATGACACATACGAAGGTGGAATCTTCACTGCCTGGCTGACTGAAAGTTGGAAGAATGCCGGACAACTCTTTGTCCCGTTGCCGCTCATCGTCGCTGGAATCTCGCTCTATTCGTCCTACCAGGATTCCAAAAATACGGAAAATGCAAACCCGCCACTTCCTTGGCTAACAACTACTTTTATCCTCGTAGTTCGGTTCGTTCTATGGCCTATTTTCTCTATTGGTTTAATCTACATAGTTGTTAGGGAGCAAGGGAGAGGAGGAGTTTTAGGTGATGACCCGATGCTTTGGTTTGCGATGATGCTGATGCCGACCGGACCACCCGCGATGAAGCTGATTACAATGATTCAAGTCAGTGATGCGGGAATTGAAGATGAGAGACGGGTAGCGAAGTTGTTGACTGTGAGTTATGTTATTAGTCCGCTTTTGGCGTTTACAGTTGTTGGCGCGTTGAGGGCGAGTCAGGCGACAATTTGAGAGGGAGACAGAGTACGTGGATTTAATGGATCGGGATAGATATGACTCGATGTAAATGCTATTATGCAATTATGTATATAAGGGTATACGAAGACAGGTTAAGTATCGTTTAACAGCACGTAAAACAATGCAACTGACCGTCAACAATATTCCAGCGAAGTCTCCACCCTTATTTTCCACCCTTAATATCTTGTAACAGTCTTAAGCATCCATCACATAACACAACAACCCGCCTCAGTCCTCCCACCCTTCTCCGTCGTCGTCCTTGCACTCGTCTTCGCCACATCTTCCAATACCTCTTTACACAGCTCTCCTGTTAATGCACTACACTCCGCATACCGATCACACATCATTTCCTGTGCGACCCCCAGTCCTTCCTGGGGCATCACGCTCTTCCCTCTCCCACCACCCCTCTTCTCCTCATCCGTCCACTCCTGTCGTAAATCGCGTTTTAACCCAAGCACCATGACGGGCATGACTTCATCGTAATTGAAGTGCTTGTTTACGAGATCTATCCAGTGTGTGCGGAGGGAGTGGAGGGTCTCGCGGCGGGTGATGTCGAAGCAGAGGATTATGAAGTTGGGTTGGAGGAGGGTGTAGTTTGTGGGAGAAGCGGTGTCGTAGAATTGTAAGCTGTAGGGGCGGCGATAGAGGGTTATGTTGAATTTAAAGGGTTGGTCCATGTCGTGGAGGACGGGGAGGGAGTAGGGCGGTAGGTCATCATTGTGGGGACGGATGCCGAGGCTTAGTCGACTGGTAAAAGTTAGAGGTGCGGCGCGAAGATGGTTAAGATACCTGGGTAAGAGGGGGAGGAGGGAGTATTACTTGGATATGGGAGGCAGGGGAGACGTACGACAGGAACGTCGACTTACCTACTTCTGGGTCGCCCAGAAGAAGGACGCTGACCTCAGGCGGCGGATATATAGGTTCCATGGCGCAAATTGCGGAGTTTAAGGCCGTTCAGGCGCAATCGAAAGCTTCAAGGTGGCTTCATTGTTGCTTTTTCAATGCCTGGTAGTGCTCTGAGACTGGTGATAACGACGATTAGTCACAGGCTTGGCACTCGCGCCCACTATTTCTTCATGAACTCAAAAATGGCTTGTCCATCAGCGCTGTTTTCTAGAGTCTTACGGCCATTGCCCCGGATTATGCCTTAATAATAGGTTCGTTCTCGATTATAAATTCTGTCTATGGTTTCCTCCACCTTGTTCTACTTATCACACAAGCACTTGCAATAATGTATTTTCCCAGTCTCATTGTCACCAGAGCTCAATCTCGCTGCCTCTACCCCGCCAGAGAGTCTCTTTCTCATTGCTATCAATGCCGAATTTGCAGTGAATTTGCCGAAGGGTAACCCCTTCCGAAAAAAAATGACTGAGGTTGGGCTGTTAACACTTGACACGCGGGATATCAAGGGCATTCATTCTGGAAACAGTGCACCTGCGTGGAAGACTTAGATCAAATCCAAGCAATAGCTGCGCAGTGACACTGCTCACATCCGCTCCGACGGGGCTTGGTCATCATGAGCATCCTCTCTGTGCCACGGAATATCCCACATTGGGCAACAGCACGATTGTTCATTGTGAGAAGATGGCTAAGACTATTATACAAGATCTCCACATTCCGGACCTAAACATCGGCGCTGCTGCTGCTTCTAAGGGAGAGTGCAACGCCCTAGCAAGACCTCCAACGATCACAAAGTTGTCATCGTCGGCCATGCTCGAGGGAATGAGACCAGGGTGCTACAAAAAGCGCTCGACTTTGACCTCCAGAGCATCGGAATAGTCATAGCCATCGCCGATGCCTAGTTTATTTAAAATGAGCCCTGGTTTCAAACCCTCGTACCTAGCCTTGCTGCCTGTCTTGAAGACCTACTCGGAGCATGTTCCCTGCACCTTCACAACGGAATGATGCTGTGTACACCATTTCAATTCTCATTCTAGGTTCGCCCTGGAAGTGTGCTTGAGAGTTTCAAGTGGGGAGAGATTGGCCATACATGAGCGTTGTGTTTTCGATGCCGGAGACTGGTGACCATGGTATCGTGGCGTTGAAAGACAGTCCCGCAAGCTCACGAACAGACTTGCAATGGGGAGGATAACTCAGGGATCAAGATTGCCGAAATGTAGCAGACACGATTTGGTCATCTAGCAGTCCTCAAATTGAGCATGGCAAGATGGTGGATAGTATCCTCCTATTGGCGATGTAGGATTGACTGGTGAGTAGATGGCGTAGTTGTCAAACTGTAGAGTTCCGTAAATGCCGTTGAGAAGTTATCACAGCAGTAGACACCCCTCATACCAATATCCTTCAAGGGGAGTGAAAGAGGAAGACGCTAGTAGCATGGCGGTAAGTCTTTGAGGGATTCCACAGCGTTTTCTTGGTGAGCTATCAGGACAGCACACAGACCTTCTGATGCTTGTATCGTTATCTACCTATGCGCCAATAAGCTCACTGCACAAAGGTGGAGGCTACTGTGGGTTTGCCATTTCCCCGCTTCCTCCTTGAACTTAATCCACCCAGACTCGGACTTTCTGAGGATGAATCCTCAAGACTCCGCACGGTGATCTCAAAGACAAAAGGGGGCTCGTTCTTGGCCATTCTCGGCTCGCAGGTCTTGTAACCGACAAGCTCGAAACCGCCACATTCCGTCGATTCGACGCCGCAACGCTTGCAATCTGCTATTAACTGAAGCTGAGTTCAGCACACTCGGACTCAAATTGATCGAGACCGAGAACGAAGATGAAATGGTGAAGATGGCAGAAAGAAGTACGCATCATTTTATACCAAGCTGAATATCTCCAAGCTGGGTGGTAGCACCAATAAACTTGGCCTCGTCAAGGAGATCCGAAAGAAGATAAGTGAGTACAGGAATCACAAGCCACTATCACAAATCTGTTGATTTCTCTTTTGTTTGTCTTCCAGTCAGGCCAGGTGCTATACAATCGAATTGTTTGCTAACATCGCACGATGTAGAGATCATGCACTTCTCTAGCAATCTATATTACACAGCCTTAAGTCCCTTGATTGCTTCGACCTGTGCCACTCCCAACACTCCCTCGGGAACGAAATCACGGGAAGGCAGTTCCTTATGGGTGAAGATAGAATGACCTGGGGTCCCGTCACATCCACGTCGCCTCCACGAATAAGCATGCTACCGATCTCATTAGTCTGAGGCCCCGGCAGAAGGAACACGCATTTTCCACTTGGATTGCAGAACATGTCGTCCTCTTCAAATGTGGTTAGGCTCGGGTGAGGAAGCTGAATAAAGTCGCGATCAGAATAGCATATTTTGCTTCTTCATTCATCAAAGTCACGTTCTTGATAGCGAGTATTCTGGCAAGCTTGATTCTCATACCATACAGCATTCATTGTGATGCTAGTTTGTTTGAAGTCTTTGGCGGGGAGATTGGGTACCATTATGGCGCTCAATATATTATTGAGAGGTGCTATTATACTAGAATAGATAGTTAGAATGGAATAAATATTGCTTTAGTCGCAGCTTGCAAAGGTTCTTTAACTGCATTGCTCGGCCTAGCATTTTAAAGTAATACAGCAACAAAGCTATAAACTTTTTGTACTATAGCTAGAGTAGCAAACACTAAAGTGGCTGCTTGCGTAGCACTTATTTTAAACATTGCTAGAGATTACAAAAGCTCACAGGTGTAAGTGACTCCAAAAGCGGCGACAGAAAACCACTAAAAAAGGAGTCAAAAGTCTTCGGGCATAGAGTTACTGTGGTAATTCAGAATAAGATTTGAATCATGTGGGCCTTCTACCCAATTCCAGCAAGGGGGTGAACCGATGAAGTTGCTCAAACTATGTTCCACATTGTGTGATAACTCGCCATAATATCTTCCCGTTTAATATCGTGCTACTCACTACCAGGAGAAATTCAATTCAGCCAATAGGTAGGAAAGTCTAACCTACGTGCGCTAGTGGACCGTCTATAGCCTGCCTTTGCTATACGGAATGCAGCGATCACCAACAGCTAGAATATTACGAAGCAAATACTGCCTCTAAGAACTGTGATCCGTTTTCTTTCGAAGTTTGTCAATACGGCCGAGGTTGAGGAAATTTTTTGACTAGTGTCTCTTCAGGTTACCGTTCATGTATTCTCCGGTATTCATTTTTCCAAAGGCTTCATTTGACATGTTCGAAAATATCGCGGCATAGTGAGATGCGAAGTTAGAAACTAGGTCTCCCCTATAAATGTTGTGTTGGATGCCCCATCGCAGAATATGATAGAGGCATGGTTGTGACTCGAAGCGCGACTAAACCTCGGCAATGTGCATAACAATAGCGAGGCCGGAGTGAGGTTTGTTGCGCACATTCTTCGTTTTTCTATGGACCTTTCGGAGTCTCCTGTTAGGGGAATTTGAGCTGAACGATTTCCACACCGACAGGCATACCAATAATTTGGAAGCCTGCAAAAAAACATTGTAAATGTGGAAGCGATTAGTTTTTCCGAGGAGTACCGTCATAGTTCAGGGTGTCATCCTATGTGCTAGAATACGTACCCTTCACACTTGGGCGCGATCAACCATAGACCTAAATCGAATAATTTCCGAATTTCTTCGTGTCCCTAGGAAGAGATTGCGAATCAATGTCGAAATTGGTACCCGACCCGTCTGGCAAGTCCCTCGAAGCGCATAGAAGGCGCGGTGCATCTATTGTGGATGTTACGTAAATCAGCTTTTGCGGTTGACTTTATTACTACTAATCCGAGTCGTACGGATGGATCTTAATCTCCCGGAGAATGACATGAGGGGTCTTAGCTAAGTCAAACTTAGACGGAAAAAGGCGTCGTATTAGCATTTCCTTCGGTTTCAATATACATTATATGGTCATGATATAGCCGGTGTAAAGGGCGTCGTAAGGGAGGAATTTTAAGGACTTTTGTGACATTTCGGAGATTATGCCATCGGCACAGGACCAGAAGCGATCCATATGACGAACGCAACCAGACTTGTCAACAAGCAAATATATTTGAATAGTTTGCTTGCTTTGTTTGCCAACTCTTAATTCAATCAAATCAATTTTAAGTGCGAAGTTGTTTGATTTGTTTGATTGAATTGTTCAGGAGCTGATTATTGGGTTTCTTCAGTCTTGAGATAATTTTCTAGTGTTATAGTTAGCTTAGCTACCTAAACTTAGGCGTCTGAGTCGCGTACGCAGGGAACTTGGATAGCCACGTAATAGTGTGCAGAAGTTTTGCAGAAATATCTCCTATACAAAGCTTCCCTTTATAAGTCCACGCGACTCTGAGACTTCCTGGGTGCTTCCTAAATAGGCATAACGCTTCTCTTTTACAGCTTTCTTGAAAAGTTGTTAAATCTATGAAAATATGAAAACAAACAGGGCTCTACAAGCTGTAAAATTAAACCACTCAAATCACTTCGTGAGTTTTGATCAATCAAATCAAATTACAGCAAATTATTTGCTTGATTTGCTTGTTGACAAGTCTGAACGCCACGTCCTAGAGCTGATGAGTGATGCGTTCAGTCAGGAGATCAATTTAAATATACATAAGGTCCATCGAGTGCACCAGTGCGGAATGGATGTCGTTTTGCGGAACGTCAAGTGGAGGTCAGTCGTGTCGAAAATCTGCTGGAATAGTTGTCTTGCATGTGACGTTAGGTTTATTAGTGTACAAAGGACTAATAGGTTGCGTAGACATTGTTTAAATTGTTCCCGATATGTTGATCTGCGGTTGTGGATGTTGGGAGTTACCAAGAAAAAGAGTGACCTTCTCAGCCTGATTGGCGACAAGGCAGGGCCGGTAGGCAAAGGAGCCGGATCTGGTCAGGGCAGAAGAAAGCCCAACGCAGAGTACACCAAGAACGCTAAAGCAAGAATATTTGATAGGGAAGTCATTTGATGTAGGTACCTTCCTTTGATATCAGGATCCGAGTTGAATACCTACTCTGATTGAACGTATTTCTTCTTTCTGTCGGGTTCGAGTCAGCTGGCGCCCCCCAGGTTAGCGTTGCGCCCCTCGTTTTGCTGTGAACCCACCATGCATTACCCACAGTCTTTGCCTTTCGCGATCCCGCATTCTACAGTGTCTCTTCTTCCAAGCACTGCATCATAGGGCGGGTCATACGTTTCCGACACCAAAAATCGTGTAGGCCCATGTAATCTCCTCGGTGACCGCTCGAAACACCACACCAGGTCCACAAAGCCTCCCACTGATGACTCGCAATCATTTTGTGCTATTGCCCATTCTCGATCCTCTTTTTCCAATTGTGTTATTGGTTTTTCAAGGACGTTCTTAACGAGTCTCTGAGATATTACGTTCGTTTCAGAAGCTATATCGAACGATAGTTCTGCGACTCGCCATATCCCAGAGGAATGTCGCGAAGAGTCTGTATGGATCTCTATCGTTCGTGGGTTGGGTCTTCGGACTTTTCGCTGCAAAGAGAGTCAGCTCAAAACGAGAGAACATAACGAGTAAAGGACGAAGAAAGACTAACAACCTTCGCCGTAGGACGAATATTCAAGGAAGGGATACACCAGATCATCTTGAAAGGGTTTCTATGTCTATTAGTGCTTGCATGTTGCGGAAGAGCGATACGTTGCAGGACGCACCTTCAGGTCCTCCGACAAGGCAGATTTCCAGATGCTACTTTGGGTTCACCGGTCGGGGCGGCCGCCCTCTTTAATAGAGCCTGCCCGTGCACGCGCCAATGAACTGCGACATCAAAGCGGTGGCCGATATTGGATCTTCCGACCCGGGAAGCGTGGCTCCAACACTCCAGCCCACGAAACAAGGCTAACACGAGGTATTGCCCAGTTGAGAATTAAAACTTCGACGCCCCTCCATAGACGCTTGACATCTTTGACATTCTCTTTGTTGTTCTGTAACTCAATATTAACACTACGTGGAACTGTTGTCTCTGAACTATGCTTTTTGGGTCCATGCAGCCACCAAAGCAAAGGACGTGATTCAATGAGGCGTAATTGACAACTCGCAACCCCATTCATTCCAAGGCAGCGTGGCCAGGTCTCATTGCATGCGGAAGGCAGCTGCAGCCTTTACTGGATGATAGGTGAGCCTCATGGTCTCCAGTCCTCAGGACTGGGATCGTTGCCCTGGCTGCCCAAGTCTCCGCTCGATAAGACAGAGGGCGCCAGTCTACAAGGCTGAAAAACTGACCCCAGATATCTTCATGTCGTAAGCAATAAAGAGACTTTCGCAAATAGCACTCAAAATCATCCCAAGAACTATTCCCACTAATTTTCAGTGACTATAAATGACTCAAGCAACGAATGACCCGCTTCGACATCTGGTGGCTGGGTATCCCAAGCTAGCCGGGCAGATGGGCATAATGCCTGAAGCGGCAATGTTTCGCACATTCTCGGCCCTCAATGCTCGCAATCTTCTTTACTTGCAGGCTGAACTCATTTCCCTAGAGAAACAATTACTAGACTCCGAATCAAATGACAGTCAGGATGAGAAAAGGTCCCGATATGCGCTGGACTGGTTTTGGCTGAGCCAATCGAAACAAAATGAAGGGAACGAGAGTCAACTACAATTGATCTTAGAAATGAGAAAGAAGCTCAAGGAATATAGTATTTTCTAAGCCCTGCTTACGATTTAGCATACTAACCTCATCTGCAGACAAGGCACTCATTCAAGCATCGACTCTAGCAAATCTCAAAGAGCCAGATAAATGGGATTTGAACTATCTGCAGGGTTTTCTTATGACTAAAGAAATGGGATCCCTTGCATTGATTGGGGATGATGCTACAACCTGGGGTTCCGTTACCAATCCAAAGGGTTACTCAACCGATCTTGTGGCACTTCGCCCTCGCCAGAATGAAGATTCATTCTCGAACTGGGTTTCCAGAAGCGCAGTAATAACTCTGTTTCGGTGCGGCTGTGCACGTTTCAAGAAGGCTTCAAGAGTTCATGGAGACGTCGGATTCGAAGACAGTACGATCTTCCGTATCACTTCCTGGTTTACCAGCATAGTAGCTTCCCTCATCCCGATAGCATCAATCCTGGTACTTTATACAGTACACTCGATGAAAGCTCGGTTAGGAATAATCGCGGGTTTTAACCTTCTGATATCGACGTGTCTGAGCACTCTGACCAACGCAAAACGCTCTGAGATTTTTGCGGTGACGGCAGCGTAAGTTAAAACTCAAAATAGGATAAGTGGAAGGCGTACTCTAATGACCGTACTTCTAGGTTTGCTGCAGTTCAAGTCGTATTTGTCGGAACCAATTATAGTGCTTCTACGAATGGAGCGGAAGCCTAAGAGACTAGAACTTTTCAAACCCCGGGAAAAGACTTCCTAGAGTGGAAATAGTGAATAAAATGCATGTCGGAAGTGGCACGAAATGTGCGTCTTATATTCTTTCAATGGAACGAAGTCAGGTTATTCGATAATGAGCAAATTGAACAAATTGAATGACACTGAGCGAAGCTATAAGAAAATCTAGGAGATCAAAGTGTGTTGAGCTCATTTACGGAACAATCAAAGAACTAGCCCCTTTCATGGCTAATGTGCTGCCTCTTTATGCTTCACAAAGTTCAACATCAACTAATATGGGCATTGGCATTCACCATGTTGCTCACGCCGACTTCTAGCCTAATCAGGTCAGGGAATGCCGGATGGACATCAACAGTCGCACCCAATCTAGATCTCCGTATGGATGACAGAACAGTCTCATATATGTTTAAGGTTAAGTTAGATCCATGGTGTTGCAACCATGAGTAAGTGATTTAAGTAGGCATTTGAACATGCAACTAATGAGTCGCTTTATATTACATTTTAATCTTAGCGGTTCAGCAGAGGCTCTCACAAACTCTACGCCGAGCACAATAAATAGAGCTAGGTAAAGTTGAGCTGGCTCATGCGACGATAAACCCACTAGAACCAATTGGTTCTTTTGCCGTTTGTGTCATTAGGGGTAACTTCAATGGCGCTGTATCCAGGTGAGAGCTGCTGCAGGAATGTGAAATTGAGGGCAATGCACACGTAGTAACATCACAAGACGAGAAGTGTCGCTGTAGTACGGGGTGGGTAATACCCTTTAAGGTTATCAGTTGTTAGTTTTACCTTCGAAGCTGAGAAAAGGGGGAGGTATTGCTAAGAACATTAAGTATACAAACAGAACCCTTCGCAATTACCAGTATTTTATTTAGATTCTTGCTTATAAAGTCACTTTTTGGCGCTGAAGAATGCTCGTATTTTTCAATTCACTTGGTATTAATCCTGCTCTCTCTAGGCAAACATTGCGGTCTTCAAATATGGTACTATAAGTTCAGGCAAAGGTGGTAGGCGAACCGGGTCTGAACCTGTCTCGTCTGGCTGTAAACACGTCGTTACTATTGCGTTGAGATCAGAAAAGGAAACCATCTAACTATTACGGTAAAGTAATCCTTGGCTTGATTTAAGGAGAGGAGTATAGAGCAAAGGAAGGCATTAGATGATGATTAGCAAGGGAAAGATATTACCAAAAGCATAGAGTGTGTACCAATTGTGCTAGGTAGTGCCTTCTGGATTGTAATTCATGTTAGCGATGTATTAGGGATGAAGTTCCTTTCACGACTTCAGGCACTGGAATTAGAATGCTCTAGGACTAATGTATTCTATCCACAAGTATATGAGAAGCGTACTTCTCAAGCAACTGTGCACCTTAAAATACATAAAAGTAAACAATCTTCATCTTAGTATCTCCACAATTACTGACTAATACCTCACGAAATTGAGATGTAGGGTGTTATACCTTTGGCTTAGAATAAAGTCCTCCGATATGCATTGTTATAGTTGTAAAATATAGCAATATAGTCCAATTTTAGCCCTCCCTTTTTTAACTTATAACTTAAGTTATTATACATTATGAGTAAGTAGCTAAGGCATTAACATATTATATTTCAATTCTTCCCTGTCTTTTATTACGATGTATGTGGCATTCCTGATACGGAAACCTATATCGTTACTTGTCCATCTAGTAGGTGAGGCTGTAAAGAAAGCCTGATGTTTTGATGCCTTAAAACCCTGCAGCCATGTATCCTAGATGTTGCCGCTAACAGCTTGATAGATCAGCGCTGGCGAAAGCGCAGAGCCATCAGCGCAGATGCAAGCTATAGTAGTATCAACAAAAAGTCGCTGCGCGCAAGAAAGTTAAGATAGCTTGCTAGTCTAAAAAGCTGCTTAAGTACTATATTAAATCACTTAAAAATAGTAAGAGAAAGGCTCCTAAGCCCCCTAAGGAACCTAGGAAGGTTGATGCAGATATATCGCCAATTATTGAGGTGCCTGCGACCACGCTCTAGCGATGTGGCCGCAGGGTTAAGCAGCTAGAGCGATTGGAAGTTAAAGAAGTCTGTTATGTATTAGTAATTGCTGCGAAGAATGTTTAAAGAGACTTACTGCAGGCGAGAGTAATCTTAAGATTTTAGGATACCCTAAGCTTTGGGAAGTATCATCTTCTCTAGTTGCGAGACCTAATCATCTGATGCGAGAAATGCTCCGCACTGTTCTGGGTGGTGAACGCCGACCCGCTGGATCATGTACTGGAGAACATTAACTAGGTTTGCTAGTTGATAATCTCGTGTGGCTTTCTTAATGAGCGCGTCTCGCTCTAGCTATGATTCAAGGCTGCATTCTTTCGCAATTAGGCCATCGGTAGTGCTCTGAGGCGCGTTGTCTGGTAGCATAGCGGCGCGAGGTACTGGACGCGTCTCTGAATTAACAACATCAGAACGCGCTCTGCGCCTAGGAGTGCCTTTAGCACCAGTCACTTTGTCGGTTGAATGGGTATTGGGACGCAGTTTATTTTCAGTGTCTGAAGCGTCATGAAACTGAGCCGTAGTCGCTCCAGGAAGGCTGCTATCACTTTCACTGTCGTTGGTATTGTTCTTATACCATCTAATCTGTCGGTTGGCATTACAGAATCTGATAGGGGATCTCGGGTCTGACGATATTCACACCTAACTGAAGCGTTGCTGTGTATCTGTGGACATAACCTGTATAATACTGGCGTGGGCGACTAATCTAGGTGCGGGTTGGTTGTCTGCGAGAGAGAAAGAGGTGGTGAGTCTACCAGAGTTGGGTGCTACGAGCTATACAAAGAAGTCTGAGCTAGAGGCACCAGGTCATGTGATGCGAGTCACACCTTTGTGCTATCCCCACCACACTAACCACAGCTTCGTGGTACCCTCCATCTGCACGCACACCTGTTTGCCCTGTTTGCCCTATTGCCCTGTGCAGTTTTCTTGGCGAATTTTTGATGGTAATCATATCAGCCCTTATTCTACTTCCATTCATAGCAGTGCCTGACAAAGAACCTCAGCTCAGCACAGCTTTATTCTTACGCCAGCGCAAAGCTAATCACTTATAAGGAAGTCCAGTGCGTTACATGCCTAACCAACTCTAAGTAGTTGTCACGATACAGGCATCCTTCTAGTTCTCAAAATGCGCGAGGTCACCATGTCTTCGACCATCTATACCGGCTGCGGCGATAGAGTGGACAGGGAAATGAGCAGGCAGGGTTGCAACAACCCAAGTAGGGAGGGCCATCAGATCGCATATAATTGGCTGGGTTCTGCTAGGTTACCTGGAAACAGTGGGTGCAGCATCAGATAGTCAAACTTTAATTAGTTATGAATCCTCCCAAGTTACGGCTTGATTTAGTCATTCTCACCCTTATTGCCACAAAGTGGTAAATGAAAAGAGTGTGTCGCAGTCGCTCGCAAAATCAGATCTCTTGGCATCCGCCTCAGCGCCTTCCTGGCTAAACTCCTGGATTGCTGGTTATAGAGGCCTGAGAGTGGATGAAGCCCGATGAGATGGTCGTTTTAGGTAGATTTTTTCATTCTTTGGTCTCAAAAATCGAAGAAATTCCGATATCAATGATATAGTAGGGGAACGTAGCTCCAGTACTTCTCGGTGCAATGAGAGAATCGACCGAGCTGAAGTTATCCCATTCTTCAATCCACATCAAGGCACTGTCTTTATTGTGTGATTGAGCAAGTCTATTCCTATAGAACGTTACCATTTTGAGTCGCCTTTTCTAACCTCCCAGCCTTTGCTTCTTTGTCTCTTGTTCATTTAGGACAATTGTTTTCTTATGGACCTTAAATCGCTTATTCCAACACCAATCCAGGGTATCATAGCAGTTCTGGCAATTCTCCTCAACTTTAGCGAATCCCATCAGGCACTCTACCTTAATTCTGTCATGATGATCTGAGAGTAGTATCTTGTAGCGCCCAAGAGATCTCTCTGGCACCTCCGGGCTGGAGTGGTGATAAGTCCATAGCACACCTAACTGGCCATCTGGGCAGATCTTATCTACTCTTGCTATTAGTGGCTGAGTTTCATTGTCTTCACCTTCGCATTTCACAAATACATAGTGTCTAACACACACTTCCCTGCCATTATCTAGACTTGTGAGCATAAGCGTGACGTTGGGTCAGGATAGCGGTACTTACGAATGATGGGCACGGCCAATTTTTAACCCCTCTTGTTGTTCGTCAAAGAGCTCGCCCGTAAGTCTGGTTTAGAATTCAGTAAAGGGGCGCCACCAGGGCGTGCTGGCGGTAGGACGGGGGATCTAGAGCGTTTCTAGGTTCAAGGAATCTGCTAAGGTAGAGCTCTAATATTGCGTAGTGAGGGCTTGTTCTAGAGGGAAGCGTATTAAGCTTGCTGCTCCTTTAGTAGGCAGGTCACAAAGTCTATTTCATTACTAAGTCTAGCAGCTAGAACACTAGCAGAAGTAGTATCTTCTAAAAGACATGTTAGAAGTGTTTTAGAGATAGTTTAGAAGAATCTTAGGCTTACTTTATTTAGCAGTTTAAGAATATCTATTTCTTGTTTTAATAATTTTATTCTCCTTAGGGAGGCTTCTAGGGAGGCATCTAGGGAGGCTGACAGTTACAGGAGGATAATCTATATCTAAGGCCTTCTTAAAGGAGGGCAGCTTTTGTTGTAGCTTATAGTCTTAACATTTCTTAAACTTATTATCAGCTCCTTTATTACTTGCTACCTTAGTAGGACTTCCTGCGCAGACATTGCTAAACGTGTTCTCCTTTAAAATCTTGTCGGCGACTTGTTCTTTGGTATGGCTGTGAGGGGGGTTGTTGCTAGACAAAGTTGACTTTTTAGCTTCTCCGCTTACCCTATCCTCGTTAAAGTGTTTAGTGTGTCTACTAGAGAAGTTGCAAATGCGTTCACTGGGTGACTGGACAATTCCACAAACATTTCTATCATTGTTCTGTGTCTCGTGCCCCGTCATATCGTGCGGCAAGGGGTGAGTGTACGCTCGATCCCTAGGGGACCGTGCAGACTCGTTGGCCGTTCCATCTCTGTATACGGTCCGAATGTCGTCATCTTTATATCCATTCCTAATGTCGCCCCGTTCAGTCTAATTGTGGACATCGCTAGCAGGGCTTCCAACGGGCCGTACTACGGTCCGTACAAAGTGAACCGTAACAGTCACGTGTTCAGTACAAACGTACTGAGTTTGTAAGCCGCACCGTACAGTTAATAATGCCCTAGGTACAGTACGTAGTACAGATTGTATTACCCTTTTAGGAAGTTTTTATAGCAATTCTAGAGGAGTAGGAGGACTCTAGTAAGCAGGAGGTCTGCAGGAGAGCTTCTAGAGCTCTAATTAGCTAAAAGTTTTGTAAAGGCGCTTAAATCTCTTTTTAAAAGGTTTAATCTATCTATCTACAGTCTGTTGTCTTAAAAATGCCTATTATAGACTATTTTCTATTATAGAGTTATCTATCTACATGTTTTACTGCCTTATAAGCCTTATCTAGTTAATTAGATCTCTTTATTATCTATTTTGCGTAGTCTTATAGGCTGTAGAAGTTAAAAGCCCTCTACACTGCGTCTTTTGCCTTATCCTACAATAGTACACTGTCTATAGCTAAAGATTAATTGCAGCAGTTCTTAGAGAACTGCAATTATAACACTAGCGTTAAGTTTATAATTAATTAGAATAATATATAGCTATTAGACTTAAAATAGGCGTTGCCTTTAGCATAATTAGGTTACTAAGTAAAGAATAAGACTACCTTGCAAGGCAATTATACACTGTTAAAGGTGTAAGCTTATAGCGCAGATATAACACTTCTAGAGGAGTAAGGCAAGGTAATCTGCCTTTAGCTCTGCTGTTAGTGTTATAAGTAGGGCTTTTAAAGCGCTGTAAAAGTAGTAGATAGCTATAACTATATTATTTAGCACCTACTAAGGGAGCATAAGGTTAACATTAATAGAGAGCTTTTACTTAATAGTGTACAGCTACTGCAGCACCTATGGGAGGCAGCTAGAGGAGCAGCAGGCTTGTTGCGGGGGTTATCTTATACACTATAGCAGGAGGGTCCTCTACGCAGTGCCCTAGTTAACTAGGTTATAGTGTAGGATTAGTTATTTAAAAAGGCTATTTTATTAAAGACCTATAGTTTTATTAGCTAGAATTACATAAATCTTTTTGCTGCTCTACTATATTCTGCTACTACACTCTCTAAGGATATCTACGCTGCACTTATGCAGTAAAAGAAAGAGATTTAAATAATACTAATTACTACGCTGTTAAAAATTACGCTAAGCATAGATATATAGTGTTCTAGAAACTACCTTTCCTTCCTTACAGTAGTAGCTTACTTTGTTAGTATGCGCGCACAAGCTACTATTATAAGAACTCTGTAACTAATAATAGCTAGATGCCTTACACGCTTAGTAAGACCTCTTAATTAGCTTTAAAAACCTATACAGTAACTATACTAGTAGTGCGCAAGCCTCTAAGATAGCTGCTGTTATTAATAAGTATAATATTACGTTAAAATTTAGCTGCTTTGTTAAGGATAACGTGTTAAATAACAACAACAAGCTTATTTAGAGCCTTAATAAGAAGCTTAACCTGCTGTATAAGCTTAATAAACAGCACTAAATCTGCTGCGCTGCCTATATAATCTAGGTAGTTGTTAAAGCTATTATATACAGTAAAGGTGTTATAAAATTTAAGCAGAAGCTTACTAGAGCTGCTCTACATAATTAATTTAAGCTATATAAAAAGTGTAGAGTTGTTAGATAACTTTATAACTTTATAAACAGCGTGCTAGCATTACATAAGCGCATAAGGCTTTTTAAGACTCTCTAAATTAACATTGCAGAAGAGGACTTAATTTAGCAGTTTAGCACGCTTAATCTAGTGCGTGATAGTAGAGTACACTAGCACTTAGTTTACTTTATGCTATTACACTGTTATAAGCTTAGAGAGGCTATTAGTTGCTTTTAACAGTAATAAAAAAGCTTTTCTAATGCTAATAAAAAGACTTAATAAGCTAGCTTTAATACCCTAGTAGATCTTATTACTAAAGATAATTAAGATAAGATTAAGCATTTTAAAAACTTTTTAGAGAAGTTCTATTAGATAATAAAAAGACTTAAGGGCTAAGGCTTATCTAGCTTACTATAAAGGACTATAATAGAGCTTTAGTGCCTCTAAATCTACCTTAATTAAATAAGAGTAATTACTACTAATAAGCTAAGCAACTTGTACTTTAAAAACACTGTTAAGTTTAGCTATTAAAAGCTTACTACTTACTAAGGTAAACTAATCCTTAATTTACTAGTCTTATACTACGCAGTTGCTACTATCTTTAACCCTTAATTACGCTTACTTTAGTTTTAAGATTACTAGCAGTATTATAAAAGCTAGGTAGATAAGGTAACTAGGTTAATAAAGATAATCTTTAACTAGTATTTAGATGCTAAAGATAAGCATAAAGTTAAGAATAAGCTATTATCTTTTAGGCGTTACAAGCTGCTAGGTAGCAACTATTATAATAATAATTATAAGGCTTGCCTTTCTGTTAACCTTTTTTTTATAACAAATTAGCGCTTACATAAGCGCAAGAAGGCGTTAAATAAGCTGCAGCTTTACTATAACTCTATAAAAGCTAATTACTATAAAGATTACCCCTTACTACGCAGAGAACCTCTATAATAGTGGCTTACTAGAGGCAAAATAGCCTATCCTATTCTTTTTAAGATTGCCTTTAATTTCTTTACTATCCTAGCTACTAGTTGCAAGTGTAAGAGGTGTTTTAGCGCAGCTAGTTATATAGTAACTAATAATTAAGGCTTACTAAAAAGTGTAATAATTAAGGCTATTTAACTCTAGAAGAACTAGCTACAGCATAAGGTAGTAAGTAGCAAGCTTTTAGACCTCTTTGCTCTTATTACTAGGGAGAATTAGTTATCTTATAGTTAATTAGACCTTAATCTTATGTCTCTAGAGACCTATAATCTTAGCTGTTTTAACTAGAGTACAGTGTACTTTAATTAAATTGTACTACTTGTACAGATCACGTGAGCTGTAACAGTTACAATACGTACACCTACCTCTCCTCCTCCCTGTTGTACGAACGTACCCAAAATCTCACCCGTACAGGCCTCAAAATCGCCCAATCGTACAGTACTACGCCTCGTTGGAAGCCCTGATCGCTAGTGGCCCAGAGCTGGGGTTCTCCCCACTGTTGACAACGCTGCCTGAATGATGGCAAGTGCCAGGCCCACCGTTTGTTTGAATAGCATCACGGACTTCGCCATTCACAGTGGGTCTGTTGCCATCATCGCCATCTTGGATCATTCGTTTTTCTAGGTTGTCGTAAGCAAGCTGTGTTTACAGAACTAAAATAGCCAGGATCTCCTACCTTAATTCTTACCTAGTCTACTACTGCTTATGTTAGCAGAGTTATTGTTAAGGCTTCCATCGCGCATTCACTTAATTGTTACAGGTAGAGGATTTAGCTTCATAGTTTTCTAGACTAGTTTGCTATTCGTTTCGGCAAGTATCCCTAAGATAGGTGTAGACCCTGTGTAGCTGTCTTTTGTTTAGCTGCAACTATTTTTAGGATGATAATATCTTGTCGCGGCAGAACCTTCTGTATGCTGTTAGGTGTAATCGCCTAAGGTAGTAGTATTATAATGATACAATGCATACATACCACTTGTAAGGCCGAGATGGTGCTTACGTGCGACGGGTATATATACTATTCTGTACGCAATAATTAACTGTTGGTTGATTATTCGCACCTTTTTGGTTGTATTGGCGTAGTGGTACAGAGCTCCGTCCTTACACCACTAGCCTTAATTGAACCCCCTCTAGCTGCTTGTGTGGTTGGATCTAAAGTTTAGTAAAGTTGGCGTCTTTAAGAGTAACTTAAATAGCTATTTTTATTATTTAGTGATTTAGGACCTGGCTGTGCTGCTGGATTGCTGCTGTGAGTAGGTTTGTTGATTTTCTGCTTAGGACTTAGAGCTCTCTTCTAGTTCTCCTTGCGTAGGATTTGTTTACTAGATAGGAGGTCTTTAGTATCGCTATTATTCCTATCCTTAGCGTAGTAGGCGTAGCTGGCATAGGGTTTATTACTTTTATTGTTACCTGTAAGATCCACAACTTGTGTTAAGTTAGGGGATTTTAAAGTTGTATCCTAATTGCTACAGTGCCAGCCTGCCCCGCTTTTTCCACTTAGGGGTTTAGCAGAGTGACAGTTGTAGGCTGGTGGAAGACAAGGTGCTGTGTTTGTATGGGTATAGACAGCCGTCTGCTAGGACTTAGAGGAGAAAGTAGTATACATTTTAATAGTTATGTAGTTAAGGTGGGCAGTTATAAGTAATTAATAACTATACAGCAGAGCAGAAGATGGAGACAAAGTGAGGTAGAAAATATAACTAAGAATGTAGGCCGCTTTATATACTCGCGCCTTTTGCTCTATCTACCTCCCTAACTTAGTCTCCTCTGCATAACCAGACTTCTTAGCTGCTGGATTCGTACCTATGCCCACTAGATAATAAGCACTCCCTGTTGCCAGCTCTAATTATTTGCAGTAGCTGTGTAAAGCACATAAATCTAGCTAAGAGATTACAACGCATGAGCACTGCTCTACCCTCTTACAGCAGGGTTCTTACCGCCCGCAGCCTAGGCATAATAGCAAGATTAGCAAGATCCCATCTTAGAGCACTGGCTTATAGTGGAACACCTAAGTTACCTCTTCTCCTTTTCCTAACCTCTATAGAGAAATATCTAGGCAGAGTAGTTCTTTCTAGGTATAAAAAAGCCTATACAGTAGAGATATCCTTTGCTGCAACTTTTCACCATCCTATAATAGTGCTGTAAGGGATTGGGACTTTGTCCCAGGTCCAAAATCATGCGCGAGCTACGTCAGGTTGCAGCTTGTCTACCCTGCTTATCGCACCTCCCTTAAGAGGTGCGTCGTGTGAGAAGGGGGCTGATAGTCGATCCTAGTACTCGATGGGCGATGCATGCCCAGGACATCCGTTGATTCCGATTCCAGCTGCCAATAGCATCTGAACCCGTGGACCAAACGGGCTCGGAGATGGCGAAGGGGGCAAATCCAACAATTTTGCTGAAGCAGACTAAAGGGATCCGTCACGGCCATGCCGAAGGAGGCCCATTGCTCTTACGCTTGGGTTCGTACCCTAGGACGGAAGATGCTTGCCCATCTTACGGAGGAAGTCAGCAGAGCAATTGCTAGTATGGTATCCACCAGGGCGCAGCAAGGCGAGTGGAGACAATGGCGAGGCATTTCTTTGATTTGATACGTCGCACGTCGGAGGGTATAGCCTTCCTCATATCACATGAATTTTGCTCCCTCCTGCTGCAGGGTTGATACCACGCACTCCCACTATAGTAGTCCTCGACGTTTAGCTAAAGGACTGCGCCTCCACTAGCTAAGGGCAATCTAATGCGCTGCCCTGGTTTCAGTCCTCTTTTTTCATGCATACTAGATTAGGCCCTTGCTCGAACTTAATCTAGTTTAGGGGGGGGTGTTGCAAGCCGCAGAATGTGACGTGTTAGACCGAATTATGAGGCGTGGCTGGTAGAACAACGGCGGGATTTCGGACCTGGGCACAGCAGCAAGGAACGGATCCATCTTCTCTCGTTTCTCTCTACGGTCTACATGCTGCTCCGCCCGGGGCCATGATTCTCCCCTCGTCAGGAGATGAGGCATTTTCGTGATTGGCACTAGCGGATAGGTCCAGGGGTAGGGCAGGCTCAGCTCCGGTCCAGTTGCGGCGGTGGCTGTTAGAGCAGGAAGAAGAAAGATAGCAGGTCAGCATCCTAGCTAGATTAGGTTACCCTCACTATGAGCTTGTAACAAGGAGGCTAGAGAGGCGTAAAGGTAGAATTGTAAATAACAAAAGTAAATGTGAAAGGCCCTAGAACAGCGCACTAGAAAAGAACAAAAACAAAGTAGAGGGAAGACGTTCTAAAAATGAGAGTTAAAAGCCTAAATCGAACCTAACTGACGCTGTTAGATCGCCAGGTCTGCACAGAAGTCGTATCAACAGCATCACAGCCTTCCGCGGTAAAAAGAACGATAAGGCGGAAACTAGGAAAGTCGCGCAGCATGTTGGCTGATTGCTGAAAGCGAGTTTTTGATTAGTGGCCGGAGATGAGATGGGAGGAGCAGGCAGGCGAGGCGTAGAAAGGGGTGGACCGCTCGGCAGCAGAGGAGCCGGGGTCAGGTTAGAGAATTAAGGGAAAGAGAAGGGGAGGAAGCCTGGCGAGGGGAGGGCGAGCATTTTATAGACGTCAAAAGCGGCGGGTTGATGGGGTGAGGAGCGATGCCCGATATGGATAAGCGCAGGGACTGCACTAAACCCGAAGAGGGAGTCCCTGGACAGACATTACGTGAGCGCTTGGGATTTGGTGACTTATGTTTGCTGGAGCAGAGAGGATGCGTGGGGGCTGACTAATCAGGAGCACTTGCTATTTCTACGTAAAGTCGTCGCGTCATCAGCTCTCTAAGTCGGCCACCTCCATCACAATGATCTGTTCTCAAGGAAAACAACGCGTTATTGTTTCAAACGCCATTGTCATGTGTTGGAAGTCTGTATGTTCCTAACAGTAGTACGTCAGGCTCGCGCCCAGATATCAATCTACATTGACCGGGTACTAACTCCCGCCTTGTGCAGCATTTTCTCCACCCAAAGAACCCACAAGCTTCGCCCAAGTGCCATTCCATCCGCAATTCTACTCTTTCAAACCGTGAGACACTCAAAGGCTCTCCGATTCAATATTTAACTTGAACTGAAAGGGATTGAGACGGCCGACTAAAGTGAACAAAGCCGGAGATTGGACCCAAAGGTCACTCTGGATATGAGGTATTCATGCGTTGCACCCATCAGTTGAAATATCATTACAGCATATGGTGGAATTACAAATGAAATCTTGCACAAAACGGAATAAAATGAGAAGATGCGAGGATGAACGTTTGACCGCACCTGTAAATCGAGGTCGGGAAAATAACCATTAGGCATACGAGGGCATAACATCCCAACAATAAGTCGTAAGTAGGTCGTGGTATCTAGCTGGATAAAAATGAAGGAGAGCACTCAGAGGACGAACTTTTGTGGCTGGCACTTTTATAGTCTAGCCGACTTAGAGGATGGATCGCCGGGGTATAACGACGTGTATGTACATCACCTTTATTCCAAGTCGAACAGTTCTCCGTCTAATGCGTATAGTGCGCAAAGGATTGAAAGCGCGCAGGTGATCCCTAAGGATGTTTCGACTTTTCTAGTTTGGCCTAGTGGAAATTAGACCACGTCTAAGCCAAAGGCGAGCAACACAGACCTTTTCATCTCGCAACGCTCTCTTGCGCGCGTCATTCTCTTCTCTTCTCCTCTTAGCCTCTTCCTCAATTGTTTTTGCTTCGGCTTCTAAGACACTAGTTGTTAGTCGGAGCTTCGGCATGCTCAAGGCTGACATACTAGTATAGGTAGGTGGCTTTTTGCGAAAGCCAGTAGCCGCAAAATCAGGGCGCATTTCCATGATGTTATTATCGTAGATGGTTTTTGAACCGATGATGATGTCAAAGACCTCCGTGTCTTGAGAAACTTCAAATTCCGCATCCATGAACTTCGGGTGGAAGAAGAGCGGACTGCCGGAAGTGTTCCCTCTGCATGCAAACCTTCCATGAATTTTTGCTATCGAAATGTACTGCCCCCCGCCAAAGCTCTCGACAATGACCTCCCCATCCCGTGCTTCGAATTGTAGGCCGAATATTGCTGCAAATGCCGGTGAGATGAGATTCTTGGGATTGCCCGTATCAAATAGGGCTATGGCGTAACGGTGTTTTTCCTTATTGCTATCGGCATTGAGGAAAGCGACTTGAATAGTCTTAACGAATGGATTGTCCTCGCCATCGGAATAAGCATAACGCTTAGGACGCTTCCATAACTTGCGTGTTCTTGACTTCAGATAGATCAATAGCCCTTCCCACGCGTGTTTTATCCGGTGCCTATGTTTCGGTTTTCGTCGCGTAGGTTTTGGGTCGTAGATGATAAGGTCCTCGTGGGAATCCATGCGGCAGCTCTCCGGCAACGATGGGCGGAGAGGAGCCTCGGGGTCGCTTCTCATACCATACGTCGGCGGGCCGACACTCTCGATAGTATCCTTGACATCGTCCTGTGTGGTTATGTGGTGGGATTTCGGTGCTACATCAAGGTCAGACATCACTAAGTAAGTTGTGTCGGCCAGCACAGCCGGTCTTGGGAGGCCGCTCATCAGGTCTTGGCACATGTAACATCAAGCCTGGGAGAAACTCACAATGTGATTTTTCGGCTTCGCCCATGGGTATTGTGTTCATTTGGGGGTTGATTGCGCCGGGTATCCGTTTAGAGGGTGAGGAGGGGAGTGGTGGTGATGGTGGACCAGGCGCTCGTGATTTGGGAAGCTTCATCGGTGGATAGGTAGTGAATTACCTGGGAAAGGGCGAGTAGACGAAGTCTGGTGTGGCCCTCGAGACCGCTCTTTTAATGTTCTGAATACGAGTCAGAGGGAAACAGCGATCGCATTGCATTGCCGCAGCCTTACAAGAAGGGATGTTGGCTTTGCGGACATGCATTGCGAGTGGAAGCATATTCACCTAATAGAGCGAGCCTGAGTCGTAATTAATCGTCGAACTCCAAAGACGAGCAGAGGGCAGGGGTGTGTGGAGGTCCGTTCTGCACGATGAGCTACACGGTTGGAAAGGCGTTTGTTGAGCTGGGCGAGCTTGTTCACAGCCGACTGGGGGGAGCTCGAATAAAGTTGGATGCAGTAGGTATTAATTATGTAGAAGAGGAGACGGGAGCAAAAATTGTGGCAAGGAAAGACGACAGAAGTGCAGAGGCGGAGAAGCTTGGTCAGAAGAGTTGACAAGAGCGAGGTGCAGGAGAATTTAAGTGTCGTAGTTTGCAGCTCTTTGGCCATTGATCAATCGCCTGCGCACAGACCATTGCCTATTTCAACGAACGCGAAACCAAGCCTGCGCATATGGCCATGCCAAGCCTGCGCACATAGCCATGCCAAGCCTGGGCGCGTGGCCATGCCAAGCCTGCGCACATGGCCATGCACATGGCCATGCCAAGCCTGCGCACAGACACGGCCATGCCTATGCTCCAACCAGAGATCGAGAAGATTGAGGGTCAGGCCTGATTCGACCCTCTTCCTGGGCATCTGTCACAATAGAACCTCGCTGGCGATAAAGCCTCGTTGGCCATAGGCACAATTTCACTCTTGGAATCCTTTCCTTATTCAAGATGGCCTTTCTCCCTATTTTGAGAAGATAGTCATGCCCAAAATGCGTCTGTTTCTCTTGAGTTTCGGCCTCCTCTGTCCTCAGCACTATTCTCCTCGAGACACCTCGAGTCGCTAGTACCGATAAACTCCACATTAATGGCAGCATGATACCCATCTTAGCAGCATCCGTGCTGACTGTGCACCTGTTCGTACTTGTGGAATCTCACTTTTATTCATGATACTCCATCTTTGCAGCATTTGCGCTGGCTGTGCGCCTGTGCCTACAGATGGATTTCCTCACACCCATTTTTATTGAGTCGAAGTAGGTGATGCGCAGCTAGACAGACGGTTGGATTCCTATAATTCTTTCGAGACAGTGTCCCGACCTCGTGTTCAAATAGTAATGCTCCTCGTTCTCTGACGGACGTCTCGCATTACGCCATAATTACTTCTATCCTTTCTAGTATCTTGCCAATTCTAGCGAAAGAACATGTTATATTGTTGACGATATGGTTCGCTAACGCCCGGCGTGAAGGAGAAGTTAACGCTGCGACCCAGCTTACTGCTTGCAGCCGCAATCGACCCACCCGCCCCAAATTCAGGGCTTAGGCTCTCCATACATAGGTAACCTGGGCAGAGTTAAGCAACGCTCAAACGCGTTAATATTTAGCATAATTCTGATTCGGCCAGAAACTTATGGCCTTAATAAGTACCTCTTCAGGAGGGAAGCTTCGCGCGGTCGGCGCAGTAGAACTATCCCTGTTGAAGCCTGACCCTTTTGAAAAGTTAACCCGGGCTAATGCAAGCACCCAGGTGAGTAGCTCCTAGGGGTCTGCCCGGGAATTTATGCGAGACCCTCTAGTTACGCAGCGTTCGTCGTCTTTACAAAGTCCAGAGGGTGCCAGCTGAGATCCGTTGGGTTATTTCTGAAGGGTGGATAGAATGCTGTGAAAGGCCACAGCTAACCAAAGAAGACCTAATCGTGTTCTTGCTTCCCGGCTTGGTTTCGTCCACTGAAGGACCTCTGCAGTCTAGGCTCATGCAACGATTGAAAATTTCTTCAGCCTGCTGATGGAGCTGTCCGCCCAACGCAGAATTCTCCAGGTTAGAGTTGCATCACTCGCCAAATGTAGAGAAGAGATTATCTCCTAAGTCTTTAGCCGCGCGGACCGTGAAGATCCTGTGACATTTTTCACTGAAACGCGAAACACAGGGATAGGCAGAAGCCCTCATATTGACTGCGCTGCAAAAGTGCATGTTTTTGATCCAAACCCAACGTATGTAGTCAGCTGTATCTTTTTCGTCCGGTTTTGCTGATCGTTTGCATTGGAGCGACGGCAGCGGCAGCGGGATCGCAAGCGGGCTTTGCCTCATTTCAACAACTCCCACACCTATTGGGTGCCACACTTTCCATGACAAGGACCAATAATAAATCACTTCGTGGCCAACTGCTATCTTCACCATGCTGATGTTTCGATGCAGTTCTATTCCCTAGAAATCGATACCGTGTACTTCTCAGCACTGTAAACTCAAGTACAAGCTTGAATTAGCGTCCCATTGTTTCCTTTCCCAAAAATACCTAGCTTCCATGAATGCCATGTGGATTGACGAATCACAGAGCTTAAAAGTGGGGGGATTTGCGGCACGCCGAGCCGAGCCGAGCCGAGCCGAAACAAAAACGCGGCATTGGGATCGATCGCTCATTTCTGAATCGCGTTTCACACTTCATTTGACGAATGAGACTTGACACCGACAAATGGATGAATGCGCGTGCGGCCCTGACAAATGCTGGAACCTAGGTAGGGCATAGCCCGGAGATTGCTATTTCCCTAACATCCCACATTATTCTTCTTCTCTTTTAATTTGTTAATATCCTTCATCTCTTGATTCCTTTCTTATCACATGCGATCCATCGCTAATGGGACTCATCGAACTAGTTCGCACACTACAAGAGAATCCTTCCCAATTCTTGGCTGAAATCGCCAGATCCCTAAGGTATTCTAGCTCCGCCTTCAAGTCATTGCCATGAACCTTAAAACTGCACTTCTGACCGCCGGCGTTGTGCGGAAAAGTCTCGATTTTGGACTTCCAGGTCTTTATGCGTTTACGAGACGTCACCAAGCTAATCACGGACAAGTATTACTTAGCTCAGTTGAGTGGAGGATGGGGGTTGCGGATTAAAACTAAGGATTGCGACCCGAGGAGATGGAATTGTCGCGGATGGGTGTATAATTGACGGTTACATAGCCGAGCAGCGCTGTCAACAGTAAGTAGTGCGCTACGATTGACCGTTTTTCTGCCCGTAGCTTCTCAGTTTGTTAGTACGTACGTACGTTAAGAGTGAATTGATTGGCACCTACAGAGCGTAACTGTAACAGCTCGCAATCCTCCTACAGTTGTACTTCTCGCAAGAGGTTACAACATAACTGCTAGAGTCTTCGTCCTAATATAGTCTGCCAGCGTTATTAATTCACTCTCTACTACGTAATAACGTAGCTAGTTCTTTTAAAGCTAAAGAGCTTTAATTATATTAACTCTAAAGCTGCCTAATTAGGTCTTATATTGCTAAGAAAAATTAACCTTTTGAGACTTACTACGGCCTGTAATGGGTATCTCTATACCTGTAAGTAACGGCTCAAAAAGCTCCTACGTCCTTACTGCTCACGTGGCTGCTACGTTCACGTAGTAGTATACGTACTACTTACTGTTGACAGCGCTGTAGCCGAGTTTAGATATGTTATTACTAGCCTGCTCTGGTAAGGAAGCCTAAATAAGCTAGCGTCGCTTGACCAACATTCTAAGACTTAAGAGACCATACTGAATGCGGAAGTAAGAACCCGCACTAAAACATGGAGTGTTGGTGAGGGGGACTTCTTGGGAGTTAGTTTAGGGTAGATTGTGGAGTGGCGCAACAGGAATTGGACTAGTTGAGGTTGGACACTTGCTCCAGTGGGCCAACAGCCTCATTCAAGAACCAAGCAACCTTAGACACGCATGTTCTTTCGTATCACTTCACTTGGTGGGATGCTGCCTGCAGGGCCATCTCTGAAACTTCATTTCGTGGCGAGTCTGTCGCCAAACACTGTACCAGTCCCTTATGCTAGCTTGATCTTCTGCACATCCCAAGCCACGCCTAGAATACCCGTTCCGACCATGTTCATGGTGAAGGTCCTGAGTGGGAACAAGTCGAAAAACCCGCTAGGCTTCAGACTTATGTAGAATCAAAGAAGATGATTCACAGGTACGAATACTATCTCGAACAAAGCCTGTCCACGCCAATGCCCTTGGTCCCAGGGCCCGATACGGATGTTTCTAGATAATCGGTCTTGCGAGAATATCGTTATGACGATTTCCTAGCCTATGATCCCCATGTTACGAAAGTCAAAGACCGATCAATAAAGTCGCCTAGTCCAGAGGGAAGTCGAAGAGGGTATCGTTGGAGGCAGATTGCCATGTGTGCGCTGACTGTCAAGCCGCCTACGCTAAATCAATTTATTAGGACAACAACAGCTATCATAGTCATAATACCATCACCTGCCGGCAGCCGTGCCGAGGAAATTGAATCTATGCCGAGATTTTGGGCGGGAAGATTGTTGATAAGTTCCAAGACAGCACCTTGTATAAACTTTGACAATGAAATAAATGGGTCACAGAAGCCGGTAGAGAGCCCAATATAAAGCGATACAGTGTGGCTCCTAGAAGAGGGTTACCACGCTCTATGTTGGACTGCAAAGAGAATTCGGTTTCCTTACGTTCCATCCATCGGTTCCCAAACGTGGGTAACCTTGTTTGGAATCGACGGCCTGGCAGCGTAAGAGGGTTCCGCTAGGGGAACAATGAACAGAGAACCGCTGAACTTTGCCCACAGGGCCCTAAAGATAATAGGAGCGTCAAGGGAAGCTGACAGGTGTTCAAGCCCGATCCGCCTGCAACCGGACCCAACTTCCTTTGCTTTCTCTCCCCCGACAGGACGAGCGAGATAATTTCTTCAAACGTTTCGTCCCCACCAGGCTGCTTTTCCGACGACTGGATTCGGAACTTTGTCCCTAGCTCAGTCGGCGCTCGTTCTCGACTCGTTCTTCAAGGTTGTCATGGCTGTACATGTGACCCTCATTCGGACTCTTTAGTCCTGGCTAAGGATGATTGGATTTTGTGTGTTGAGGATGAAGAATAGTAAACTACTATGTAGCATCTCCGGTAAACCGTGAGTATATAAACATGTCTTTGGAACTAAGAGGGAAATAGCTGATTCTATACAGACCTCTATTCCAGGGGAAGATTAACTAGCATCTTCCTTCTACGAGAGCCTAAAAGAGATCTAATTGTAAGTTTACTTGGCCGTAACCCCCTGAGCAAGCAAAATACCCGATTGCTGTAGTGCAGGTATAGCCTTCTGCAGCATCCATTCCGTACACTTCATATATGGCGGCCGCAACTCTTCCTCTCCATAAGACGATCCATCCGGTTTACACTTCTCCCACGCCAATGTGTTGTAGTTGAAAGATCTCTGGCGGGGAGGTGGATCAATTCCTGCTAGCAGCCGTACGACACTCGCAGAATCCGATGCCCGGATCTGACCCAGTAAATGCTTTTGGTGAAAAGTGTCCAAATCGTCTGGTCTTGGCCCCTGGCTTTCTTGGAAGGTCATCCCGGTCGCATCTGAGATGGTACCTATGACCTGGAGAAATCGGCCTCCGCCATTGGGAAAAGTCTCGATGAAAAGGGAGTTGTGATACCGGATGTCGGGTCCCATCAGCGGGTCTTGGAGGCCGAGCTTCTCTTCAACTCTATAGATGTTGTAGATAGGTGATGACATAGTTCTAGGCTGTCTATCGTCTTGATGGCGGAGAGTACAAATCGTAACTGAAGAGAGTTGAATGTTCAATCCGCAAAGGAGGGGCATATGTGGGGGTTATGTAAGCAGCTGTGCCACATCTAGATGGCCTCAGCGTCGTATCCACTCCCCGCCTGGGCACTTCCCGAGTCGAGGCTGTTGCCCAGTGTATCAATGCCTTCAGCACTACACCAACACAAAGCTAGAATAATAGACATCGTGAACAACGATTCTAGAATAAGTAACACGCGATCCTCAATCAGTGTCGCGCGACGATTTGGTAGGGGATCTCGATGACGTAACGGACGCTAGCACACTGCACTGCATGAGAGTGCATGTATCAGCTCTCTCAGCTGGCTTGAGCTGAAATAGCAACAAACATCACCCAGCGCTGCACGCCAAACGCCCTGCCACAGCAAGGTTTCCAGCCTCTTCTCCCACCCACCAGCCTCCCCGTCCAGTCTGGGGCCATGTGCTCTGTTCTTTAATGCCCTGACTAGCCCATTTCCCCCGTTCGCTCGACCGCCGTTACGTACCTGCACGCCCAGCACCACCATGACCCTCGCAAAACACAATCTGCACGTCGCAGCCCTGATTCCACCGCACCTGACACCAGCCGATGTCATCGCCGCCTTGCACGACCACAACACATGTCTGACGCTCCAAGCTCTTACCACAGGGCATAAGGAGCTACCGGAGACGAACCCGGAGACAAGGAAGGATACGTACTGGTATCCGCCGGATCTGCACCCGATCAAAACTTACGAGGTTACCGAAGCGGTGACGATACTACCAGGGGTTGGCGAATGGGGAAAGAAGTATATCACCTTCCCTAGCTGCTTCCAGGACACTCCCCATGGGATTAAAACACGGGCGGATACTTCGGGTGTGGTGCTGAGAGCCGAGTTTAGGGTGATAAAAGGCGGGGCGGATATTGGGGAAGTAGAGGGAGAGGGCGAGGGGATTGGATATGCGGAGTGGGTTCTTGTGGAGGATGTTGAGGTGCAGTGTGCGTGGTACATGATGCCGTTTGTGAGATCGAGTATGGAGGGCGCGCATAGGGATATTTGTCGGAAGGTGGTGGAGAAGGTGGAGATGTTGAAGAGGCAGGAGGCTATTGTGAGGACGGCGGCGAAGGGGAAGGGAAGAGTTGATTCAGATGGAGGTCAGAGGCTTCCGGATAAGATTATTTATGGTTAGGGTGGTGTTCTAGGGCTCGGAGCAGAGCGGATACCGTGGGGGAGAAATGTGGTTCCGGATTCGGTAATGAGAGGGACACAAACTGGTCAGCAATGGATCATGTTGAAATCAGTACTCCTGGGACTCGTGTTATTGGAAAGGCTCGGACCGAGGGCTGGGTGAGTTAGAATTCGCGATCCACATTTTTCGGCATGCATCTCCATTCTCTACGACTGTTACGACGTTAATGCCTTTCCAATTAGCGTAGACGACAACCATAAATAATCTCATCATCAATTCCTATCATCAGTTCCTATCATCAGTTCTTATCTCAGCTAACTATACACTTCATGGTCTCAGCTTTGCAACACTTGTTACGAGCCACTAAACTTCGATAACCCCTTCCATAACCTCCACCGCTGCCCCCTTCAACCTAATCTCCTCAATCTCCCTCCCCCCAGCCTTTCTAACCACACTGACAAAAATATCACACCTTCTCCCCATCTCCACCCCCTGCACAAGATGAAACTCAAACGGGCCCCGTCCCTTCTCAACCCCTTCTTGCAACGCTAAATAAGAACACAACGCCGCACTCGCACTCCCGGTCCCTGGATCCTCCCTCGACCCAATACTCCTCGTCCTCAGTAACTGCCTGTCAGGGGAATCAGGATCGCAGCCTAAGTCGACAAAATAAAACGTCCCAGTTAGTCCGGCATCCCAGCCAGATCCTTTATCGAGGTACTCGCAAGCGAATACGTCAGCTACAGGAACGAGGCCTTCAGAGACAGAGCCCAACGCTTCCAGTGTCGACAACGGCACGAGGTTAAACGCCATACCCTTCACAATCGAAACAAGAGGTACTGTAGTCGAAGACGTTGGATTCATATCCGGCGATGGTAGAGGATGTGGCAACCTCGCTTTGTGGATATGCACGTCGTGCGGGACTTTCACGGATGCTGTTCCACCCCCCTCCTCACTATATACAAACTCAACTAAGCCCGCAACCGTCCTCAGTTTCTTCACACCCGCATACTCGTTCCTATGTCTTGCAATATAAATACTTGTCCCGACCGTCGGGTGGCCCGCGAAGCTTATGCGCGACCGCGCGGTGAAGATGTCGTAGTCTGCGACTTCTCCCTCCCCGTCCTCGCCTTTGGGGACCTCGTGTAGGAACACGATTTCTGAGAGGTTGAATTCAGTTGCGATGGCTTGTTTGCGGGATTCTGTGAGTTGCGAGCGGAGGGCGCGTGGGACGCAGACGATGGCGAGGGGATTGCCGAGGTAGCGGGTGGAGGTGAAGACATCGAAGGTCGTGAAAGGGAGGTGCATTTTTGGAGAGAGTACGGAAGGGGATTGAAGGATTGGGGGTCTTGCGTTGGTAGATTTGTGCAATTGGCCCGAGTGCGGTCTTATACCCCAATTCAACCTCCTACTTTCTGTATTTTGTTGCCAGCGCCAGTAACAGCGGTTCTAGCGCTATAAGGAACAAAAGGTAGTGCACTGATGTGATAGATGTCTAAATGAGTCACTCGGAGCGGATTCCAACACTCGCATTAGTCAGCTCCGAAGATCGGTTTGCCCATGTCCACCCTGAAGCATTAAATTAGAAATAGACTGATTGTGAGGATTGAGCATATGACTTCAAAGGGTAAAGCAAGGTGCTGACGTATAAACTATATGTGTTTATGTATGATCCGTCATGCGACGGCCATAAGCCGCAAAAAGAATAAGCTAAGTGGAGCAACTCTGAGGCGCGCAGCTTGAAATTTTGAGAAAGGGATACTAAAGAAGAAAACTCGACAGTTTCTACAGTAATCGAGCCTCATTCTCGTCGTATCTCGATTCCCTCTAATTCCCTAGCCGTATCTTGCTCTCCTGCGCTCGATTCCGTGGTCTCTCTTCTCCTCTCATCACCCCCAGTCTCTTCTTCTCTCATTCCAGCAACATTCTTATCCCCTGGACTCACCTCTGCACGCATCCCCCTCTGCTTCCTCAACCACCAAACTCCCCACCCAATAACCCCCAAAACAAGCACAGCAAACGGCACGCCCAACCCAACACCCACCTTCTGCGCCGAAGTTAATCCACTATCCCCCTTATTCAGCGGTGATACCGATGGAATCGTAGTCGACGTGTTCGACGGCACCAGTAAGGCGGAATTAAGATACACAAAAAAAGGAGACTCAGACGGCGGTTTCCCAACCGTTGAAATGAAGAACGCGTAAACACCCGTAGCGAGCTTGACATCCCGTGAGAGAGTGTAGCTCATAGAATCGGTTTCTTGGAATGCTATAAAGATTTTGGATTAGCTAGGATTTCTCTGGCTCACACAACGCTCTCCCACTTTCCGGCGTTCGGGCTTGGGAACTTCGAGGGAGGTGAGGGGATAGCGACCCACTAGCAACGAAATCTTGGAAAATGTCCCCGCCGCCATAATAGTCGAAACGTGAGAGTGATATGTTGACGTATTGATTGCGGTTTTGCCATGTTAGGTTAAGAATCGGGGAGGTAGGTGTGAATATCTGTCCGGGAGGGAAGCCGATGAAGGAAAGAGGGTGGTCTGTGGGAGAGCTAGTACTTGTCGTAGGAGAAGGCGTGGGGCCGGCGCCAGGGTTAAGTCTTGTAGGATCCATAGAGTGTGGATGGGTGTGGCTACATCATGCAAAGCTCTTCTGTAGGAACTTGTTGAGTGGGGTCGTGAGATTTATCTAAACATGAAGCATGGTCTAGAGAGCAATGGAGGTGAGTATATTGATAAGGTTTTAGATCCGAAAGGAAAATATGATGGCGGTAATTTCCGTTGCATATGATGAACTTACTGTTAATCGAGAATCCAACCAACTTCCCAGCTGAGATGTAAGAAGCGCCACGTTCCCTCGTAAAGCGCGCCACAACTCCTTCAGCTCTCATACAGTCAACTCTCGATGGCGCGATACAATTCTGGAACAAGGATTATATTGTTATAACGTACTTCATGGGCGAGTCGCTCACACACCTGAGTCGCTCACTTTTGCCAAGACCCCACCCTAACAAACTCTATTATAGCCTATAACAACCCGCTCTAGCACTATATAGTACAGTACAGCCTAGAATATTATTTAGATACTACTTCTGCTTCTTGCTTACACGTTTGCGCGTTATGCCTAGTCTAATTGCACTATCTATAGCGCCTTTAGAATAGCTTACTTACTTTAGCTTACACCTGCTTCTTTGCCTTTTTTCTATTACTGCGCGCCCTAAACTCCTTTAGAGCTATTAAGTGTAGGCTTTTTTAAATTATTAAAGTCTTTTCTGCCTTAATCTGCTTTTTTTTATGTAATTTATATTACATAGCAGCTTTATTAGCTACTTAAAGCTTAGTAATTTCTTATTATGCTAACACTAGCTTATGCGTAATTATTACTGCCTCTTTTAAAACTTTTTTAAACACTTTAACTATAAAAGTTAGTAAACTATTTATATGCTTTTAAATTTTTATCTTTATAAGCATTAATTATAACCTAAGTTCTAAAGTATTACTTAGGGTGTTAAATAGGCTCTAACAGCTAGCTGCTTATAGTATAAGCACTTAAGTAGCAAGAGTAAGAGTAGTGTACAGTGTGCACAGCGTACAAAGTAGGTAAAGTAAGGGCAACATGTTTTTAGTTCTATTACTCTTATCTTTCCTTTGTATAGAGGAAAAGGGGGATATCTAGATGTTTACGCACAGAGGTTTGCGCATAAGCATTATGTAACATAGATACGTGATCCTGCTTGTGCGCAATTACTTGTATCTAGGCTGCAACACTGCTGCTGTGTACAGACACTAGTAACTTTTTTTTTTATCTAAAAAGTTACCTTCTATACATGTTACTTCTCTTCTGTCTGTGTAGGTCTATCTAATTATGTTTTGCCTTTACTTTACTTTATTTATTAAGACTTACCTTAGTAATGCTATATATTAAAATAGGCTAGTTATGCTATGTAAATAGCTTTTTTTTTTATCCTTTGCTTTCTAAGCTTTACTATATAATCCCTTAGCTCTTTTCTCTTTTTGTATAGTGCTAGTAGTAACAGATTTTTATAATAAGAAAAATAATTACATATAATATAAAAAAAAAATAAAAAAAAATAAAAAAAAATAAGCTTTATATAAAAGTGTTATTAGTCTAGTTAGTCTAAAGCATCTTTACGCATAAGATCTAGCTAGTCTACAGATGCTTCTATTTAAACAGAGAGGCAGTTAGTTAGGACTAGTAATTAAAAAGCCTAGTTTAGTGTTTTTTTTATATATATATTTACTAAGTTATTTTTACTATTAATCTACTTAATCTTAGTAATTTCCTTTTTCTTATATAATTTATAAAGTAACATAATGTTAATTATAAGTTACTTTTTACTAGTAGTACTTAGCTTAATAAGGTAATTATATAAAAACCTTAAATTTATATAGATTACTACTAGAATTAGTAGTAGTTTAAGTGTTTATATAATTTACTATAAAGTTATACTAAGTGTAATTATATTATTAAACTTTTTAACTATTTTATATAGTTTACTAGTAAAAACACTTCTAGTTACTCTTTTACACTTAGTAAAATTTTAGTATATAATATTACTTAGTATTTTAAAGTAGTTGCTTTACTTTATATAGTCTTTATTACTTAATATAATTAAAAATTCTAGCTATAAGCTAAAGTTTTTATTATTAGTAAATAATTTATTTATAAAAATAAACAGCTTTACATAATTAAGCTATAATAGTAAAAAAGTAAAACTACGCTTACTATTATTTATCTGCTATTAGATTTGTGCGTTAAGTGTGTTAATGTTATTATATAAAAGGTCTATAGTTTATGTAGTAATAAATAAGTTAAATGCTGCCTTTAGTTAACACATAAATGTAATATATACCTCTCTTACACATTGCTTAATATATTATTATGCAGCATTTTTATTTTCTAAGTTAATTATATAAAGGTAGCTTACTTATCTTTTCTAAGTAAAAACTACTATGTTATGTGTAAGTTTAATTCTTTTACTATTAAACTTAATAGGCTGCTTCTTTGCTAGAATAGTTTTACCTTTTATATAGAACTTTACTTTCTATAGTTTTTTTTTTTCTCTTTACACAAAATCTTTTATTATAATACTTAAAGTGTTGTATAAATGCTTCTAGTTATTTCTAAGGCCTATGTTATGCATATAGTGCATATTTACCTAACTTTCTAGGATATTTAGAAAGATGTCTATGTACTAAGTTTTCTAGATATTTAGCTATTAACATAAATTAATAAAGATCTTTATTTTATTTATAAAAATGTTATATAGTTAACTTATATAGTTATTATTTTTTTTTATACTTTTTAAAATTATATAATTTTATCTGCTAAAAGTTTTTCTTTAGTAGTTTTCTTCTAAAGTAGAAGTTTGTACAGGTTGTAATGTAGTATAGATTATGCAGGTGGTATTAGTAGTGCATACACTACTGCAGGCGGTAGTGTGTACAATTAAGGGTGTGGAGCAGGCGTTAGGTAGGGTGGCATGTATTGTTTGTACAGTAATTAGTGTAGTACTAGCTAAGGTGTAGAAGCAAGTAATGCTAGTACATTTAGTGTTAATAGCAGTATTATGTTTAGTCTACTTCTATGTAGAGCCTTATATAGTAATAAAAGTTATATATAAAGCCTTTTTAGTGTAATTACTTTTTTTTATGCTATATTATACAGCTTTTAGGCTTAGGTACTTTTAGTGCCTAGCTATAGTATAATTTTTTTATTTTTTAGCACTTATATAAGCTCTCTTTTAAATGTGTAGCTAAGTGCTAAGAAGTTTTATAGTATTTATTTTTTAAAATTTTTTATATATACACTTAGAAAGGTAGCACTTTTCTAAGTTATTATATATAAATTAGTAATTATATAACTTATATATAATTAAGTTTATAAGCTTATTAAAGCTTTTAACATATTAATCTTATTATTTTAGTACTCTAGGCTAGTCTTATTTTATAGTGTTACCTTTAATATTCTTATATTTTTTATAAGTTATTTATATAATAAAAATTATTTTTTATTTTTTTTATTATTACATAGAGTTATTAGTTACTAATAAGATTTTATTATAATAGTATAGTTAATTACTTTTTTAGTAAATTACATAGGTACTGCTATTATCTAGCTGCTAAGTTATGCAGCTTTAATAGCTTTAGTGTGCGCCTTACACTATTTTCTTTTTACTTTGTATAGTAGCAGAGCTTGCTGTATAATGTAAAGGATTAATGTGCTATTGTCTAGCTACTAGGTTGTGCAGCTTTAGTAGCTTTAGTGTATGTCTTACACTATTTTCTTTTTACTTTATATAGTAGCAAAGCTTACTATATAATGTAAAGAATTAATTTACTATTCTAAAAAATAAGTAACTAAATAAAGTACTTTATAAAGTATAAGTACTCTACTATTACTTTTTTTAAAAAATAAGTAATAAAATAAAGTACTTTATAAAGTGTAAGTACTTTATTATTACTTTTACTAATTTATAGTTAATTAAATTAACTACTAATTAGTGTTAAATAGGCTTTAATAGCTAGCTGCTTATAGTATAAGCACTTAAGTAGTAAGAGTAAAAGTAGTGTATAGTGTGCACAGTGTATAAAGTAGGTAAAGTAAGGGTAATATATTTCTAGTTCTATTACTCTTATCTTTCCTTTATATAGAGGAAAAGGGGGATATCTAGATGTTCGCGCACAGAGGTTCGCGCACGAGCATCATGTGACATAGATACGTGATCCTGCTCGTGCGCGATCGCTTGTATCCAGGCCGCGACGCTGCTGCTGCGTACGGACATAGGGTTTACAACTGCTAGGGCTTATTATATATAAGTAGTAGTAGTAATAAAGTGCACAACTTTATATTAAGGCCTATTATAACTTATTATAAGTTAAAAGGAACTAATTTAGCGCTTTAAAACTCTTCTTAGATATTACTAAAAGTAATTATAGTATTATAAGCTGCTTTAAAGTATAGTAAAAACTTTATCTTTATAATATAAGTAATTTAGTTATGTATAAAGTTTTTAGCTTAGCGCTTATACACCTTTTTTAAAAAAGTAAAATAACCTACATTAAGTAACTATAAAAAGTGTAATAAGTAAAAAAGTATATAAATAGTAATAATTTTATTATTCTTATAGTATTACTAAAAATAAAGTAAGTTATAGCTTTTATAGCTATTAATAACTAGCAGACAGTAGCTACTAACAGTACACTTCTTTATATGCGCGTTAAAGTGCTTTAACTAGTCTAGACTAAGCTAATTAGTAGTCTAGCTACACTTAGAGATTATAATAACTTAATTTTAAAGTAGATTTTTCTTCTTATACTAGTTTAAAAAGTAGTTACTACCTTAGAAAATAATAAAAAGTAAAATAGCCTACTTTTTAGTATTAATGCCTTAGATAGCTATTATCTACTTCTAGTTACCTAGCTAGACTGCTTTTAGCTGTTCTTATTTCTCTAAACTTATAATAACTGCTCTAGTAGATATCTAGCCTATTATAAACCTTATTTTATTAAAGTTATACATGTTATTATTTTAGATACTATACTTAGCTTTAATATTCTTTATAAAGTTAAACTAGCTTTAAATTACTATAAGATTTTTATAAAAAGCTTTTTTATAGTTATACTTACACTTAAACTTTACTTTAAGCTTTAAGTAACACTTAATAAACATATTAAGCTAGTTTATGCTAATATAGCCTATATTATGCTTAGTGTGTAAAGAATTAGCTATATTAGCTATAGCTACTAGCTAGAAGGGAAATTCTTACGCATTTAGCTTAAGTATGTGCTAAATAATTACTTACTCTTTATTATTATCTAGCTTTTATAAGTTAGCTGTATAATTAGCTTAAAAAGGTTGTCTAGTGTGTTAGTTACTTATTATATTTTAAAAGACCCTATAGATAGCTGTAGCGTGTTAGTTAAAAAGTGTTATATTTTATTTAAAAGCCTAGAGTGTAAGCTGCATCTAACATTCCTTTAACATGTTTAAGTAGTGTTGTTAGAAATGCATTAGTGTAGGAAGAGTAGTATAGTAGGGTTTTAGTAAAAGTAAGTGACTTAGGTGTGTAAGCAACTCGCCTATGAAGTACGTTATTGCAATATTATTGCAGTAAGAGGGTTATGTAATCTAACTATCTAGAGTGCTCTAGACAAACTGCTTAGACTTTTAAGCCTTTGCTTTAGTATATAGCTGCTAGAGCGCTCTAATCTGCTAAGGAGTTGTTAAATCTGTATGCTCTTAATATAAGAGTAGTAATTTAAGAGCCTGCTCTGCCTATGTAAGGGTAGGTATTTATATAAAAAGCTTTTTATTATTTAATTTATCTTTAACTAGCTGCTAGCTATATATTATAATTACATTTACTATATTAAAGTTAGATTAAGTAGGCTTATAATTTTTATTAATAAGATTTAGAAAGTTTTTAAAGCTTATAGCGTTTTAAATCCTACCTGCATGCTGCACCTGCTAGTAGAGCTTCTCTAGCTTCTGCTAAGACTGCTTTTTTAAATTAAGCAGGTAGATTAGTTCTTATAAAGGCTAGATTTTAGCTTAGTAGAAGCAGTAATAAATTATATTACTTTAAAAGTTATTATACTAGGCTTAAAAGGCCTAGTATAAGGCATAGTAAAGGTTAACTTAAGTTACTAGATCTACGCTGCGCTTATAGCTAGTAACTATATAGTGTATTTATTACTTTTTATATAAGTGCTTAAACTAACTAATTACACCCTAATTAAGTAGCTAGTAGACACTAGTTAAGTTAGTAGGCAGCTATTAAATGCAGATATTTAGTAGAGGTAGTTTAAAATTAACACTAAGAATATAAGCACTATAGTTGTTTATTAGCAGCAGAATAGACCTAGTCTTTTCTATCTACTAATAAAAGGCCTATAGCTAATCTATTATAATAGTATGTATTATCTACACCTTAAAATTTAACAACTATTAGATGCTAAAAGCCTTAAGGTTAATAGATTATAAAGCATGTAGTCTAGCTACCTTTTTAATAGCTTAAAAAGTAAAGTGCTTACTGCTAGTAAAGTTATAGCAGTATATAATTAATATTTAGTTCTTATCTTTTTTTCTGCTAGGTTAAGCTCTAGTAGAAAGCCCTAACAACAGCGCCTACTACTAATATAGGCCTGTCTTGTCTATATTAAATATATTTTGCTTTGCGTATTCTTTACACAGTGTTTTAATAGCCCTTATCTTCTTTTTAGCCCTAGCTAGCACTAACGCAGCCTTACTCTAGTGTTAATAAAGCTTAATATTATGCTATTGCTTAAAGTTAGTAAGCTAGCTTAAGCTAAACTCTAGTATAAAAAGGTTAGCGTAATTAGGTATCTACAGCTAGATAGCCTTTGCTTTTTTAATAAAAATATTACTAAGGACGTTACTGCTAAAGCTCTTAAGGTGCTACTGCTAGTTAAAAAGAACAGCTTTAAAAATAGGCCACTATGCCTATTATTAACATGTGCAGGTAGTAGCAGAGCTACTGTTAAAGTAGCTATATTGCTTTAAAAGGGACTTTAATACTGTTAACTAATAGATGTAATAGTTATACTTTTACTTAAACTACTTAATTATATTAAGCTGCCTCTAGCTAGGACCCTAACATTAATACTATTAACATAGAGCCTGTAAGGCCGGGATGGCGCTTACGTGTAAGGCCGAGATGGTGCTTATGTGCGACGGGTATATATACTATTCTGTACGCAATAATTAACTGTTGGTTAATTATTCGCACCTTTTTAGTTGTATTAGCGTAGTGGTACAGAGCTCCGTCCTTACAGAGCCTGTTGCTGCTTGTTAGTAATTGCCACATGTAGCATTTTATCTCTTAATATAATAATAATCTAGCTAAAAGCTTGCAATATAGTAGGTATTACAAAATAGAATATTTTAGTAGGAAATTAATTTAGGTTTAAGAAATGTATTGCTATATTAAAATATTGTTTAATCGCGCATCGCGCCATCGAGAGTTGACTGTAGCTCGTCTTGCTACCCCGCACTAGCTTGATATCCATCCCTGGCTCCTCCAAATGTGTAAACCATTCCAGCCTTCACAATTGAGCTTCTTCATTGGCTCCTTCTTTTTCCGCTCCAACCATCACCGTCATCACATCCCTCAACGTCCCAATTTCCTGCTCGCTCAACCCCACAAGTTCCCTAAAATACCCCTCCGGACCACCCCACGTCCTCTGCACTTCCTCGATTAACGCCCACATACTCTCTTCTCGTGCCCCAACCATCCTCTCACATTTTCTTCTCCCTTCTTCCGGACCGTACTCTTCAAATGCTCCTTTCTTCATTAACCTTTCGATATTTATATGTCGGGTTGGTGCAAGGCCTTGCTCCGAGAGCGCGTATTCTTTGCAGATGGATGCGTGTGGGACGTGGAGGAGAAGGAGGAGGAGGGATATGAAGACGCCAGTGCGATTGTTGCCTGTGGTACAGTGCATGAAGATTCCTGGAGCGGGTATGTTAGGTAATGATTCCGATGAGGGAGGGCCGATGGTCGACATGAGCCGGCGCAGAATTTTGCAGAATATCGGAGCGCCGGATGTTAGGATCTCGACAAAAGCTGTCACAATGCCCTAGACGTACACAGCAATTCATCAGCCACGAGCAGAACTCAACTCGCCCCGGTTTACTCGAGAAGGGTTTACTACAGTGGGATGTCGATACATACCTCCGTTCCATCCCCAGCATAAAGCTCATATCTCTGTCTCGCCGCCTCATGCGTATATTCTTCTTCCTTAAACACCGGTGTCCAGACCCTCTCAATCCCATCCATCTCCCTATATCCCCCTGTATTCTCGATTTGTTGCTTACTCCGCAAATCACAATCTGTTCTGATCCCCAGCTCTCGCAATCGTATGACGCCTTCAGCAGTAATCCTGTTGGTGTCAGAACCTCGATACAGAATGGCTTTGCGGACATAGCCGATGATGTTTGATTCGTCGATTGCGGAGGAAATTGGCCAGCCGCCAATGTCCCGGAAGTTTGTGAGACCCGGAACGATGTGGAATGGAAAGAAGGATGGCGGGGAGGGTCGAGGGGTAGTTGTAGGAGGCGGAGCTACTTTTGCAGGCTTTGTGGAAAGCATTTTGGAAGTAGAATTGAAGAAGGAGGAGTTACGATGTGTGATGGGGTTGAAACGAAGGTTATGAGTGGTGTGCTCCTAACGCCATAGCGAAGGCTATGAGCCTGAAGGACGAACAGCTAGAAAAAAAAATTCCAAAATCGAAAGAAAAAGAGCCTTGCCTCCCACATGTTGAATAATAAATCAGCAAGCTCACGACCTGCTGATGTGAAAAGAAGCCAAGTGTATAGCATCCCGAGCTCGCAGTGTGGGTACCAGCGGGGTCCCCACGTTTCTCCTACCCTTGCTTTTTCACGGCTCGCTTGCACATGCAGCTTGGCTGCCGTATCACATGGCTCCCAATCCTTCGCGTAACTAGCTACCCCGAAGGCTTGGAAATGCTGTTCGGGCCAGCAAAGTGGCGCACATGAATCAGAGCTGTCGTACGGAGGGTCATTATCCACCTAATAGTATTAATCATCCCACTTGAAGCTATGTACAAGCAACTCCACAGTAAAGACCGCCAGTTTAATCGTGTACTATCTCAGCGACATTGGTATTAGACATAGTACAAGTTGTACCGATTCACTGTGGGCCTTCTCTGCGATCGTCCATGTCGCTGAGAAGAGGCCTCAGTTGTCAAGCTCGAGTGTCTTTTGGATGAGCGTTCATGATATCGGCATCATCATCTTCGTCAAAATGCTCAGGCTGACTCTCGAGGTCTGTGCGAGACTGGTAGTCAGGATTGAAGAGCGTTTCCATATGCTCGAGGCTTCGGCCACTAGTTTCAGGATAAAAAAAGTCTGTTGGTACTTGAATGAGATATCACTCTAAATTCGCAGTGGGAGGGGACTGACAAATGATGATTGCAGAGACAATATTGAAGCTCATGAAAATAAAATGAGTCTTTGAGCCAATACGTTGCATGCCCACAGGCCAGGTTTGGGAGGCGATAATTGAGCCGATAGAGCTGCCAGATGCGGCAAGATTGAGACCCTTCGCCCTGAAGTTTGTGGGGAAAATCTACTGAAGATTAGAAAATATTGCTAGGGGTCGTAAATGAAATCCAATACCTCGGACCCGTACACCCACGCAGCGGGGCCAAAACCAATGGAGTACCCAAAAGTGTACAAAAATATAAAGATGATGCAAACGTAGTCAGCCGCGTGGTTGGCGTTCTTGGGGTAGGCAAGCGGAAGAGCGCCGTTAATCTGCATGTCTTAGTGAGGAAATCTAGGCAGAGACCAGAAAACATACCAGCAGCGCCATGCTCATCACGAAGCACGCAGCTATCAGGGTGAACCTTCGTCCAAGCCTGTCCACCAAGTAGGAGTCGATAATCGTGCATCCGATTTTCAAAGTACTCTCAATACCTCCAATCATCAGAGTTAGCTTTCGCTCGATGCCAAGGCTGCCGAAGATATCTGGAAGGTAGTATTTCATGGACGTGTTGCCACACATCTGTGCCATAAATTGCAATAAAGCAGCACGCCAGAAGCGGTTGAACAACGGTCGGTTAGTGAAGAGAACAGTCCAGGATTGGCTAGTCGCGATCTTGCGTCGCTCGACGTCCTTCTCGATCTCGCTCAACTCGTCGACGACCAATGCGTCCGAAGGATCAGATGCGCGGAGCCAGGCTAAGTTCTTCTTTGCCTCTTCGTTGCGGCCCTGTTCTACGAGCCAGCGTGGTCTAGTTTTGGTTAATCTTGCCAAAAAGTAGAAGAGGGAGGTATATATACGTCTCTGGACACAGCCAAATCCCCACCAGGAAGATGAATTCAGGAATGAATTGAATTGCCATAGAGAAGCGCCAGCCGTAATAGTTTCCGCGCTTCGATTCCCAATGGCTGAATCCAAACCCGACCCTACAACGCATGAGCTGATTTTTGTAAGCCGATCGTAGGCGTTGAACATACCAGAATGCAACAGCAAGACCAGCAACCAAACCAATATGATTGATAACGACATAGCGGCCACGATGCTTCGCTGGGGATATCTCGCTGTAGAATCTCGTCAGCATAAATCTTATGCCAGGGGAGGTGTTCAACCTTTGATACAAGGGAACCGCGGTGGATACAATTGCCAGACCAAACCCACAGATAATGCGCCCAGCTATCATCATGCCTAGAGCACCTGGTCCTTTTGCTCCAGTCTGAATTGCGGCACCCACACCCGTGATGAGGACACCGGAAGCGGCTGCGACTCTGCGACCGAATCTGTCCGCCAATGGATGGGAAACAAAGATATAACTGAGCCATGTACCAAGGTAGTATATGGAGGTAATTAAGCCAGTTGTGGCTTTAGTGGGCTTGTGTAGGGCTTTCTTGAAACCTGGGTGGACGTATATTGACGCCATCACTCCGATGTTGTACCTGAATGCACCGAGTTAGCTAATCATTAATGCAACTAAAGCATACAACATACCCCCATGCCAGCGAGGCCAGGGCAAAGAATACACAGATTGCCAAAAGTCGCAGAGTGGCCTTGAGAGGCACAGGCCTGCTTGATGCGGCATGTATGTGTGTGTGCGTGTGCGTGTGTGCCATAACGGCAACTCAACTACAGTACTGGAGATGGAGGTTCAAATATTATGCTGAGACAGAGAAATGGTGAAATCGGATCAATGCGCGGTGATCTTTGGGATTTAAGCTGCAGCAAAACCCTTGCACCTTCCGTTCATGGTGGCGCTTCCGCTCTTCGCTCTCCCCCACGTTTTGTGGTTAGTTCATAGGAAGCATTACAGGCCCTGGAAAACCGGCAAGGGCTCACATGATCTCAATGCATGGTTTCGGTGAGGGAATTGGGGTGGTAGTTGTTTGAATGGTCAACCTTTGCTATTCCCGGAGTAGTGCCACCCGAGCTTTGGGAAGCGATCCTCGCGAATAGTGTGGGCTTTTGCACTAACGCAGCGGAAGACTAATTTGGGCCCGGGACGTGGCTTGGAAGCTTTGAGGTTAGTGATAAATATCAGGCGGTAAAAGAATTGTACCCTCACCATTCCACCAAAGAACGAATTCAGCTTCAGCGATGACCTTCTCAAGCGGGCTTTGTGTAACGTTGAATCTTGTCCGGCTTTACGGCGTAGATTTACGTTTCTAACATGCTAAGCCATGCCATTTAGGTGAGTTGTCCAGGGATCATCAGGTGAGGTCGCACATCGCGGCAATGCATTCAGTCAATATTGACCAGACCACCGGGAGAAGTGCAGGAAAAAACGGCAATGCGAAGATCGATGCAGAGAAGCTCATGGCGCTGACAGAAAAGCAAAAAGAGTGGCTGGAGGAAAAGAAGTTGATAGGACAATGAGCTGTAGTTTCCACGGAAATTATGTTTATCCGAACACCGTAGCACGAAATTCCTTTCACCCCGCACTTTTCCCTGATAGATGGGTTTTACCCCAACCATCAACATAGATTGAAATGATCATCGTCTGTTACACTGTGCGATCATATCTCGAATGCAAAAGCAACAACTCATCCAGCCACTTCTGCATCTATGTTCCCGTCGGCTCTAGAAAGGACACCGTTAAGCGGGAACCAGATGTCAAAAGACGAGACACGATGGTCAGGCGATCGAAACCAACTTCATCCTATCTAGCCCTAATACGGAGTTATCAGCAGTCATGGCCCGAAGGGCCACCCATGCATCTCTCGCGCCGTGATGGCTAAATGCAATCTGCCGAGCAATCAAAACCGTGGCGGAGGAGGTGATGGCTGAGGCAGCAAGCGAATCAGGTCGAGCAGCACTCGAAACGCCAGACCAATCCCATCCCCTGCATCATTTCGATTTCGATCTGTTTGTATCCCGGTCCTTTCCATCTCAATATACACTTTAAGGCTCCTCATTTACTTCTAGAAGGAAAACTGGAGCATCAAGGTACTTGAAGAATGTATCTTCTCTATTTGTCGCAAACAGCCGCCGTGCCGGCCATACATATATAATATCATTTAGACGATGCGATCCGGGTTCATTCGGGCTCAGGAGAGCCTCAAAAGATCCTGCTGCGCTGATGTTCTTGAGTTATTCTTCCTTTCGATTTCTACGTCGGGCTTTCCTCACGGACGTTATTTGAATCGTTTCAGCCCATGAAAACATCCTGAGCTGAGCAGCGTATCAACCTGACCTGATTGCATGCTTTGAGTAGCCAGATTCGGAATCGAATTATTCAATGACAGCTACTACTAACCAAAGATAATGCGCAAAGGAGATGGGGAAGAGGGGGAGAGGTTGCTTGAAGGTACTTTCCTCTGGCACCAGGCCTCACCTCAGGAATTCTGACAACCTTAGTGCCCCTCGATGAAGAGAAGTCCACAGCTATCGAACCACTCCAGGAGAAGGTTACATGGAAAAGTCTTCCGCACAAAAAACAGCTTTTGCTCCTCGCATTATGTCGTCTTTCGACTCCACTGTCGAATGCATGCCTCCTCCCGTACCTCTATTACCTCGTCAAGTCCATTCTTTCAGATCCCAATCACGCATCCGCCCCCCAGGAGATCTCACGCTTGACCGGTCTTTTGGCCGCTGCCTTCCCACTCGGCCAGATGTCAACTAGCATGCTTTGGGGTCGTGTCTCAGACTCTTATGGGCGCAAGCCAACCATTCTCATTGGCCTCATGGTCAGCGTCATCGCCAATCTCTCTTTCGGCTTCTCGAGAACGATTGGGATGTTATTGTTCTGGAGAGTACTCGCAGGCATGGCGAACGGCATACTTGGAGTGATGAGGACGATGACTGCTGAAATTGTTAAGGAACGGAGATACCATGCCAGAGCTTTTTTGGCACCGCCTCTGATCTTCAACTCGGGACGTGTGGCGGCGTTGGCAATTGGAGGGTGTTTAGCTGATCCAGTAGACAACTTGCCCATCTTGTTCGGTCCCACCGGCTTCTTCAACTTCTCAGGGAACCCTAAAGGCGTCGATTGGGCCGTGAGGTATCCATATGCTTTGCCCGCAATTTTTAACGGTACCATCCTCAGCTTTTGCCTCGTTTTAGCATCTTTCTGGCTTCGGGAAAGCCTGCCGACCAAGGAGAAAGAGTGGGACCTTGGTATTGTCATCGGCAAGTCTATCTCAGGATTTGTGAGAAAGACGATCTTGCGAAGATCTGCACCCGAATACGCGCCGCTCCAAATAGAGGAAGCAGAATTATTCGAGACTAACGCCCCGATTGGGGAGGCCTCTAATTCTGGCTCTTCGACGCCCATAACGCGTAAATCCTATCGACCTCCTTTTCGCGAGATCTGGACCCGCGATTTACTAAAGACCTTGTTTGCTTTCGGCCTCTTACCACTCCACAACTCTACTTTCCTGCACATCTTCCCGGTATTCTTAAGCATGCCGAGCTCCACTAACGAGCATACTACATTCCTTAAATTCACCGGCGGTCTTGGACTGGCTTCTCCGACCGTAGGTCTCTACCTTGCGACATTTGGGATTGGCGGGATTCTGATTCAACTTTTCGTCTACCCTCGAATCCACAAACGCTTTGGTACCATAGGGGCATTCCGGATTGCAAATTCCATCTTTCCATTCGCCTATATTTTCGCGCCTTATCTTGCCTTGCTCTCCGGAAATGCCAAAGTAAAGTGGCCGGCGATGGCAGGTGTCCTTTTCGCCCAGGTTATGGCGAGAACGATGGCAATCCCCAGTACTGTCATTCTTCTCACAGAAGCGGCTCCACGGAAGAGTGTTCTGGGCACAGTTCATGGAGCTGGTAACACTATCAGCGCTCTTGCAAGTGCTGGTGGGCCTGTTATCGGAGGATTACTGTTAGCTCGTGGAATCGATGTTGGCGCTGTCGGAATTGTGTGGTGGGCCTGGTTATGCTTGATCGCGCTATTCGCTTTTGGGTGGAGTTTTTTTCTGAGAAATAACCATGAGGAAAGAATAGACGCGGAAATGGAGTAGGTGCCAGGCAATAGTATGAGTGTTAAGAAACGGTTTTTAGAAACCTGCGAGCAACATTTAGGAAGAAATATACACCACTAAGTGTTGAGAATATCAGCTATGTATAGGTTACTTCCAGAATTCCACGTAATAGCTCCTCGCAACTTCCCTCGAGGCTTCTTGTCCCATAGTGCTATGGAACCCCCGGGGAGCCTTTTCCTGGCCTCTCCTTTGTTTCTCCCTATAGTCGCTCTCTGTCGCTAACCCATTCATTAGGCATGTCGTACTCCTTCTAAGACACTAACCCGACACATAGCATGTACTGCAACACATCTTAATCACCAACGGTCGCTTCCATCAACGAAGCATTGTTTCAGCATACCAGATGCAAAGATTGTATATCGTCATTTTCCTACACTAACCACACCTCTTAAAACACACCCACATCCCCAAAGCCCAAGATGCCATATCCCAAACCCTCTGCCTCATCTCCATCGCTCTCTTCTCCCCCTATACATCTGATTCGTCGACATCTACCCCCTCGCCAACCACGCCTTCTGCATCACGGCTGCAACCTGCCTCCTCCGAATCTTTGATAATAACCACTTCCAGAAAGGCCTCGCAACCCGCATCCTCACACGCTATGGTGCTGGGTTGTGAGTCTCATGGCTGAATACGGGACCTACGAGTCTTGGAAGTGGCAACGGTTGATGATTGCTTATGCTTTGGGATTGATGTTAAGGTAAGCGGCATTCAGAACTTTGAAGCGTATGTAGTTGAGTTATAAAGTAAGCTAATTTGCGCATAGAAATACCTCACGCTGCTTCGCGTGGAGAGTCCCTAGGCTAATATTTGATCGTTCCTACCGCTCTCGGTTTCGGTGTTGCTAGCTTACCGACCATGCCATGTATGGCTGGTGCGCGCTTAGCTTTTCGCTGCTGTTTGGATCCACCCTTGCTGCAAATATACAACATCTAGCTATTGTCGCTATTAGTTAGGTTGTGGAGTTATGTTCAGAATCGAGAGGACGCCGGAATTGAGAAGGACAAGGTTAAGGTTGTGAACGGCATGAATAGCAAGGTTAAGGACTCAGATGTCAAAGATTATACAGTCAATGGTGGGGAGCTCAAAGTCAATGGGGTAGGGAAACGGTTTTGCAAGATATCAAATGATTGAGCAAATATGTGGCATGCGCTAAAGGCGCGAACCTCCTCGGTTACTCTCAAAGAGCAGTGGGGGACCGTTTTGGAGTAGCTTAGGTACGTGAAGGCAAGGAATGCCGACGGACTGCCATCGCGCCTCCAATCGTTTTCGGAATGTGTAGTAGGGGATGCAGCTTAGAGTTGAATGCAACCCACTTGCTCTCACTAGTACCAGAGTGTACCAGACGACCCAGCACAAAGTTTTATGCCTCTCTGTCGACATAATGCTGACCATCCCGGTCAAGCCGCAACTTCTCTTCTCTGGAGCGCAAGTACGACTTCCCAATCATGTCTTGTGCCTATTTTGGAGCTCTTATTAATCCCCGGAAAGGGCAATTCAGGGAGAGCCTTACCTCTATTCACTATTGCAACCTCAAACCATGCCCACAACAATAACAACAACAGGAAGAAGTCAATGCCGATGATGCAGGCCATAAAACGCCAACTGACCGCCTCTTCCTTGTTCCAGCTTTTGATAAATGGGAGCGGAGATAAGGGACAGACCATGACCGAGGCTATGAGTGGTAGAAGGAGCTTCGCCACACTAATACCTATTCTGCGCACCGCAAAGTCCATTTTCAAGGTCCTGAAAAACCAAGATGTTATCACGTATAGCCCCTCCCCAAGCAGTGCCTTCATATATATATTGTAAGCAGGGAGACTAAGATGCAACGCATAACCTAAACTTATGTAAACCTCGCGTGTAGCTCCTCTCCCATTCATATGGCATCAAAGAGCGAAGCCTGTGCCATATCAGAAAATCCGTCGAGTGGATCTTGTATATTTCAAAAGACTGAGCACAATATTGATACTGACGTAGGACGAGAGAACATTGGGCATTCCCACAGGAGAGACGCGCATGTAGATCTAGATGATGAGTTAGAACAGCAGTCTATCCTCGCACGGATGTTAGCTGTGATTTGTGAAGAATACGACGAAGGAAATATCATATATATAGAGCAAGTATCTGGAGGTGAAAGTTTCTACATAAAGCATCGTTAATCTTAACGTCCCTTGCATAGAGAGGGATGCTTAAGGTCAGAGCGATCAGATTAAGCCCAACTTCTTGATTAAGAGAATGAGTAATCTGCACGTCGATCTGACATTTATGTGCTGACTTAGTATCTACACCACCATTTTACAGGTCCCACTCAGTCAGCGCAAAGTCAGAAAGATTGAACGAGCCTTTCTCCATCTCATCTATGCCTACCACGACAGGACCCACCCCTTGTCCAACAGAGCTTTGGCTCAGATCCAACGGCTCCGTGAGTCTCGCATGGGCTGATCTCCAGGACCTCGGGTCCACAGACCTAGACATGTTCGCTTCATACTTAACTCGAATCGAGAATTTCCCGTCCGTCTCAACGATAAGAGCTGCTCGAAAGGGGTTCGGAACTCCCTCTCGAGTCACATCGTTCTCGCTGAGACGCCACATCACCGTCGAATCCTCGAGCACTGAAAAGATCCGTGCCTTCTTGATCTCAGTACGTTCCGTACGCCTCTCGTACCCTGTGTCTAGACCTGCTGTTGCACCGCCACCAGAACCGCCCACTTGACTGCCGAACTTAGACGTCTGTTCGACCGGTAGCGCACCAGCTTTACCCTCCCATGAATGGGGCTGGTAGGTGATAATCGAGGACCCAGCTCCTCGCACGATCTTGAGCTCGATTTCAATATATTTGAAGCGGGTTTGATAGGTGGGAATAAAGTCGAATTGGACAACGACAAGACATGCCGGTTTTCCATCGAATTTTCCGTAGCGTATGTGGGTTGCTGTCATGGTGACTTTGCTCGCGCGAATGAGGTCGACACTGAAGGGCTGCGCGTCACGCTCCGCTAGTTCGGTGTCAGGCTCGAAGAAGAGTTCAATAGGCGTTATAAGATCCGCCATTGTGAGTACAAGAGGGTAATTCCCTCAGGCAAATGGGAGATGGGTACGTAAAGATAGGCTAGCACACAGGATTACTTTTGGGCACCTATCAAAGGAAATCTACGTAATTATAGAGTAAGAATCATGTTAAGATATACTGGATGGACGTTTCAGACAATGGCGGGACTTGGAAAGTGGGGCAGGGGCTTGTCAAGATTCCACCTGCAAGGTTGGCTGCCTGGATTGCCAAGCTGCAACCCTTGGCAGAACACGTCAGAATGCGACTTGCTTCTGCTGAATCTTCCTGTCTGCCATATCTGTCAGTCTAGAGATTGATAAATAGCAATTAGTCGGAGATATTTTCGGAAAAGATTGTCTCCAATTAATTCCCGTGGCTTAATTTTCATCATGGAAGACACCGAGAGCCAAATACTACCCACACTGTTAGACGCAATCGACATTACCTGTACTATCGAGAATGAATATGTTCATCAAGATATCCAATGCGATATCTGCAGGAATGTATGCTCACGACTCTTTTTCTGGACTATTTTCGTGTGGTGTTGTTCCTTGCTAACAAATCTTCTGACAGCCTGTCATCGGCGTGCGGTTCCGCTGTTCCAAATGCGAAGACTTCGACCTATGCTCGCAATGCCAATCTAACGGAACCAGCGATGAACATGATCTGACGCATTCGTTCTATCGGATCCACTATCGTCGCCTATCTCTTCCGCCAGCAAATGGTGAGGACCTTGCACTGCTTCAGAGATTCGAGCAGGGTACCACCAGCCAGTCCTTTTATTTACATTATCCCTGGTTCTTCAGCCCCCTGATCTTCGAACAGCTTATTTCAAGAACGCGAAATGAAGATGAATCTCGCAACTTGTTGACGCAGCTTGAAAGATCTCTAGATGATGTCCAGTTACAGGTTGCCTTAGATGGTGTCATTCGACTCCTCGCCCCAGAGGACTGGAACTGGCGCCAAGTACAAGACGGCGTCAAACCTGTTCTTGAGCTTCAACTTGTGCGAGCAGAGTATTCTGGTTGGTTTCATCCGTTATACCTTGCCCTGAAAGGCCAACAAGTCGTTGCACAAAGTGTTCAGAATGCCGATTCAACGAACGTTCTAATACTTAGAAAGCAACTTTTTACTACTGATCTTGATAGCACTTCTACCAAAAAATGCAAAGATGCCATGAATGCGCACCTGGCTGCTAGATGTAACAGTGGTGGTGCTATAGAGGTGCCAATATCTACAGATAAAATCTCAGAGTCCGCAAGATATATCGAGATGCTGTCGAAGGGTTTCGATGTAAGACTCCATCTAGCTTATGAGACAATTATTTTAATTCGCAAATACTATAGCTTAGTTCATCCTCGCTCCCCATATTTAGAGAAGTGGAAGCTCTGCTGAGGCGTCGGAAACCGGGTTCTCCAAATGTTGATGTGTGACCCCAAGATAGGACATGGAAGTTTGTCGACTTACAGGAACTTAGTGGTCTCTGTCGGAGAGCATGCAAAGATGGCAAAAGTACACGTCAACGTACAAGCGACTCCTAACCCGAATGGTGAGTGTCTCTATCACTTGGCATATTCGCTGAGATGAATGATTCATATTCCATAATCTAGGAGCAGTATTTTGGTCAATGTCGAGGTGGTGTCAAAAATATAGTGAACAGCTCTTCTGACTATGTTCCATGGCCTGAATCTGCTGATACCCTTTTGGCCTCATTTACACGCCTCACCTCATGTAGAGATTTCAAAACGGCGGCAGACATAATTCCAGAGCTAGACCATCTCAACCCCTTTCACATGTTCAGAATGATATGCTTCTACGAACTTCGTGGAGCTGTCTCAGAAGCATATCGTGTCGCACACTCCGCAGTCGAATTTATCCAGGGTCAAGCCAAAGCACAAGGTCCAGAGTACTTCGTATTTCGCGATCTATTCAAGCTGTGTGAAGTCTATTTTCGCTGCTTTACGCAGGGACAGTGGGTAGATGCGCTGTTAAGGGCAGTTACTACCTTAGAGCAGCTTGCCTCACCATCCGAATTACATTTGACGCGCGTAAATGTGAGTCCTCCCACTGATAGTGATGATAAACTCTGCTCACTAGTAGAGCCTGATACAGTGTATTCTTGAGCTATACTGCTTTAAGATATTCTTATTAGCAACTAGGGACAGAAACAATATTTTACAGTCTGGCTTTGTGTCAAACCTTGCGACACGACTTCGCCATCTTCGACGCGCCTTGGCAAGAACTGGAGCTCATGATCTAGCATCATATGTCCTGGACATGGAGCTACAAACTCAGAAAGAAGAAGAAATAATCTTTGAACTAGAGAGAACAGAATACCTCCATCACCGGAGAATATTCCTCCCACAAACAAAACCTGCCATAGAGAACCTCGAAGACTTCTCGTCCATGCTGGCTAAATGTGAAGGTAGTGAAGGTCTCAGCGGAAGTCAAATCGCCGGGATTGAAGGCTCTGCTAGACTTCTTTTGGGCTATGCTTTGGCAGAAAATGAGCTGGACGATCCAGACAGCGACACTATGAGGGACAATCTTAGTCGAGCCTGGCAACTATTTGGATTGTGTGGCTCATCGCTTGGTCAGGCCGAGGCGGTACTCCTAAGCTTACGATATAATATAAGTCTCGATATTGCAGAACTACCGGCCTGGGGCGATATTGAGACTCGCTTCTGGGCCCAGGGATATTTTAAGGGGCTTGTCAAGTTTTACGAGTTCAAAGCAGCCGTTGGACTCAACAAGTCTGATAACATTCTCTCAAGATCATTGCTCCCGACAGGACCACATTTATACCAGCAGCTTCTTCCGATAGCTAAGGAGGCGGGCGATGAACTCTTGTTCAGGACTTGCCAAATTCGTTCGATGCGCAACTGGATCGAAGGGCCAACTTTTGTCATGCTTTGTGAGAACATTTTTCACCCCAGCGAAGGACTTCTCAGCGACCAGCTGTTCCTTGAAGGTTCGAAACTTCTCAGCCAAATCTACGAAATCAATAACAACTTCGCCGAGTCATCCGCATTTGCACTCCTGCACCTACGAATTGCTCACGCCCGTCATGACCCGATGCTCTTAGACTACGCAACAATGTTACACTTCCGGTGCGCTGGGAATATGGTGTCGACAATAGCCGATGAAGATCGCATCTACGAAATTGCGAGCCTTGCTTTTTCCTTCGACAGGGTAATCGCTCGGCTGTGTCAGTCAGCTTTGGCACAGATAGAGGCGTCAGAGTTTACCATCTCGGCCGGGAGTCTTCCTATCGAGTCACTTCTTTGGCCAGCACAACTTGTTCGGCATATTGTAGAGGATGATGGCGACCAAATCATGTCGCCGCAGGTGATCTTGACTGTGTACAGGGCCCTAAAACTTGCCGTCGACCTATTACTTATACTACCCTGCGAGTTTCAAGGGCTCTTCTTCTCAGAAGCCTGTCAAGCTCTTGGTACCACTGCCGAGATGCTAGCTAACCCAATACTTTCACTACTTAGTTACGACTTGGGTCAATTACGAGCTGCTGGATCCGACGGGTACACACAAGCCGTTTTGCGGCTAAAGATTGGACGACGCATGACATCGTGGATCTACCAAGATAGGCCAAGTTTTATGGAACTCCAAGATATCGCGTTTGCCTACCTGAACCAAGCCGTCGACTTCTTTTGGGGCGAAGGATCGCGCCAGTCTTCTTATAAGAATGGCCTAGAAGCCAGCCTGGTTCTTACCCGGGCTCACCTGAGAGAAGTTCAGAGTCTGATTGAAGAACTTGACTGGGGTGAAGGCATAGAGGGGAAAGAGAACATAACAGACAATCAGCAAGCAAACCAACGGCGGTTACTTTACCACGTTGAAGCAGGCCTGTCTCCCGTTCGGAAAGCCATTGCTGGAAAGTGAGTAGATTTTGCCACAGTCTTGAATAATTATCCACCATTTGTAATTGACCATGTACAGTCTAGCTCTTCGTCGAAGGCTTGGAGATTTACCGGCCATGCAGGCTTTAGAAAACAGTAGACTCTTCTACTTCGGCGATATGGAAGAGCTCTATTGGAATGAGATGGGCCTTGAGATGGATAAGTCGCGACTGACAGGGGATCCGGGACCATTATTAATGGCAATCCAAAAATGGAAAGCAGTCTCGCTCCGAGATACCATCTCTCGACGACTTGAACGTGGAGTGCGAGCTCCGGACTTGGTCACTTTTGGAGGAGCCGGATCGAGAGTCCCTAGTATCCCAACTGTGTTGGATATAGGAGACGAGCCGCCTGACTTTCAGGAAGAGTCAGTCTGGACTATGGCTGAAATCGCCGAAGCGCATTTCGAGGAAGGGCAGAGTGTCATATTCGTTGATTGGACGCGATATTATGATACCTTATTCATTGTCGCCTATAACGGGACTGAAGGTCGGATAAAAAAAGGTGTCGTAGAGATGGATTACCACATGATCGAAAAGTGGGTTTACAGTGAGTTGGGAGTATCTTCCCTTCACCAAGGCCAAACAGACCGAAGGCGGTTACACAAAGTCACGCGGTTGAAAACTCTAACACCAATTCTCGAGAAGTTGGAAGGATTTGCAAAGCCTAAGGACTTGCTCGTTCTCTGTCCCAGTGGGATTCTCCATGCAGTTCCATTGCAGGCCATCCCTTTCGGCCCCATGGGTAAGCCTCTGATCGCCTCAAATCCAGTGGTTTTCTGTCCGAGTCTTTCATTACTCCAGACTTGTGTCAACAGTGTCACAAATTCTGCGGTACTTAACAGCGTCCCCACAGCCGCATTCACCCGACTTGGTCCAGGTGACACCAAGGAAGAATCGCGCATGTATGCAACAGCGCAGGACGGGCTGGCCGACAAATTGCTCCAGACGAGTTTTGCGAGTGGGAACGAAGTCACCCGCGATGTTTTCATGAGTCGGTCTCGAGGGGTTAGGCTCTTGCATTACCACGGACATGCATATCTAGAAGCAGCTCAGCGTCGAGACCGAGCATTGCAGCTAGAACCTCGACTTGCTACCGCAGGCTTGCCCTGGGACGATGGCCTATTGAGCGTGATGGAAATCTTCGACCTGCAGCTAGACTCAGCAGTGGTAGTCCTCCTAGCGTGCGCATCTGGCGAGGACGATGTCGCGCCGAACGATGATCCCCTGGGACTGCTTTCGGCGTTTCTGTGTGCTGGTGCTACCAGCGTAATTGCCACCCGATGGCCCACGCAGACATCTGACGCCAGAGAATTTGCTAAAAGTTTCTACAAAAGGGTGTTTAGCAGCAGGAAAGACGGCATTGTCAACCTCGCTGTTGCAGTTCAGGCAGCTGTTCTTGAACTGTGGGAGGACTGGGATGAGGATGATCCCTACCACTGGGCGCAGTTCCAGCTTCGTAAGTTAAAGGGGAGCGAGGATTGCGAATTTCGTAGGTCTAACTGCGTACAGATGGATCTTGGTTCGGAAAAATCTAGGGATGATGGCATAGTAAGCGGCTGGAAGAAAACACTTAAACCGTTCGCGTTATCGACGACCGTCATCCACTTCCTGTTCGATGTTGACTCGGTGCTAGTATCTTGAGGAATAACATTTCCCTTGATGTGATAAAATACATGAGTTCCGCTCGATCTAGTGTCCGTTCTCCAAATGTCCCTGGAGCTTATCCTTGCGATAGAACTCCTTTAGGCAGTTCGTCTTCGGACAGACATACTCTCTTACACCATCATGTACCCTTGCATGACGATCACGGTCGGCGCGTCGGTTGAATGTACTACCGCATTGCGGGTAATGACAAGCAAAACGAGGTTGTGATGAGGAAGTATCAAGGGAAGACAGAGAGGGTTCTGGACTAGAAACCGGTAGCTCCTCTGGTGTAGAGATAGGGGTGACACTGGTACAGATCAATAACATGCGGTATCCAAGGTTGGAGTCAGTATGAACATACAGAGGGGTGAGTCTATTCAAGTCTACAACCATGTCATCACCCAAGATATTAGCATCCCAGATAAATTCTAAATGCGATCTTGGTTCATCGAAAGCATTCATATTAAATAAGGAGCTACTTTTAGAACGCAGTTTAGTATATACTGTGCCTCAATTCGCCTCATGTGCACTTACTCGACGTGGTTTGTTAGTTCAAGTGGTATCGCCGTGGGTGGATCGACCTCATTGAATGGGTGTAGATAGTCTTGTGAAAGGCCCTCATAACCAGAAGTCAAATTGGGTGTGACGAGGCTGGAAGTGGGTTGATGCCATCTATGAGTGGGTCCATTGGTCGAATGGTGTGTACTTGAAGAGCTAATATTGTATGGTATTCCACCACTATTATCGGTCTGTTCGTAGTCCACATATTCACCAAATCCCAGAGTTAGGTATGATGCTTGGATGCAACCTGGACCAGGATACTGGGAGACTGCATTCGCTGAAAGCCTGGATGATGGTGGGAATGTGCTAACATGGTGTTGACAAGAGTTTTGATCGGCTTCCTGCGTGTCGGCGATATCGAGGTTACCCACGGACTGGTTAAAGCACTGGAGGGTCGCATTTACTAAAGGCCTGGGTGATGGTTGGGATACCCTAATAGGATATAGGCTCAGGGCCTGATTGGCATCGTTTGTGGCGACATCGAAGTTGTCAGCGGTTGGATAGTATTGCCCTCCGAAAGCAATACCCCAGAGCTCAGAATTTGTCTCGTACTCCTAGAAATATGCGGTGAGTTAAAGGGAGATACTAAGGGAAGGATCACAAGCACAAGTCCACTCACAGGTGCCATGGAAATAACTGCTACCATGTGTTTGGACAACAGGAGCAGTTCCCGGCACGAGTGACAGCATTTTCGCTTTATATGGGGGAAGAATTGAGGCGATATTTCGACGAAAGTCACAAAATTGCCCGTCTAAGTATCGATTTATATAAAATTGAGAAGCTAATGCGCACGGGTAGAGCTTCATCCTTGCCACAGCCTGTATGTCCACTTGGAGTCTGGAAAAGTGTCATCCGCAGGGCGCGGCGACTCCTTCAGCGCCCCTTTCCCGCCTTGGATCCCTACTCGGGGTGCGGTAGAGCAAACGTGTTCCGCCGCGTCTGGTTATTTGATGTGAAAAGAATGAGGCTCGGGGCGGAGCAACGCCATCAGCGCCCCTTCTCCGCTACGAATCCATGCTCGCTGGCGGTAGAGCAGACGTGTTCCACCGTGTCTGGTCATTCGGCTTTGCTTCTAGGCGAATTTCATGACGAAATTCGAGCTTTACAGCTCACAGCCCCAACATCTTGGAAAAAGCATTCGCCAAGGATGGAAATAACGCCCCGGGATTACGCCCCTCGAGAAAGGCGCAAGGCTGAGGTGGACCAAAACCGCACTCAGAGCAATACCACGTCCCTTCCTAGCTGTGAGCTTTACGGTGGTGTTGATTGCCAAAGCAAAATGCGACAATCGCGCTGTTCGCCGGTGGGAAGTGACAAGTGACAGGGATGCAAGTAGGACAAGTGGCGGCTATCCTCGTAGAGCAGAGAAACATGTGACTAGAATAAATGTGCAGACCTCCCTCAGGGTTCAATCTGCAAAATACGCTGCAGTTACAAAGGATGATGTAAAGAACCACTGGCTCTATCTTTAGCTAGGTTGTTATGTTGTGCGTACGGTAACTGTATGCCTGGCGGTGGTGCAGCGGGAAAGTTTTGTACTGTTCTGGAGCCTCTAGGGCAGCCGCTATACATAGAGAGGTACAGACACTAGTAGGTAGTGGCTTGGCGTGGTTACAGTAACAGCTATAGAGAAGGTGCAGTGACGTATTTGAGAAGCGTGACAGGTCGTTACTCTGGCCGAGCACATATGGTCAAAACGTCCAATTACAGTAAAATAAACAAGAAACCACAACTTATGGAAGAACCCCGTGGACACGGGGGGTTCCACGTACCTGAACGCTAAAGCGGCAAACAATTTAAATTCGATATAAAGCAAACCGACCCAAGTCAGGCAAGACATACGAGGGTCTTCAGACTAAAGTAGCTATTGTCAGGCTCATGTTTACAGCAGCTGATATTCTATTCCGCTTCTTAGACCTGCTAGGCGTGATCTGTAATAGAGTCTAAGATATCCTTACCAAAAAAATCTAGAACTCCGACTTTAAGAGATTTAATTGAATTCTTGCCCTTACAACTTTGGCAAGTGGCGCTACTGTGCGGAATCTTGCGGGTGGAGACATGTCCCGACGCTACCAGCGGCTCGATTGCTGGGAAGGATGGAAGGCCCCTACTTGGGATCCAATCGATGACAGCTACAACATTCGGGGGGCCACAAGCTGCTTCATTCTCATAGCTATGCGTGGAGTCTTAGTCTAGGAAGTATTCGCCAAGTCTTTTCCCTGATCAGGACTTCCAACGGGCCGTACTACGGTCCGTACAAAGTGAACCGTAACGGTCACGTGTTCAGTACGAACATACCAACTTCGTGAGCCGTACTGTACATCTAATGATGCCCTAGGTACGGTACGTAGTACAGATTGTATTACCCTTTTAGGAAGTTTATATAGTGATTTAGAAAGAGTAGAAGGGCTAGTAAGCAGCAGGTCTACAGGAAGCGTTTATGGGGTTTCTAAGTTTCTAAGGTTCTAATTAACTAAAAGTTTTAAGCAGACGCTTAAATCTTTTTTTAAGTGTTTTAATCTATCTACTTGCAGTCTGTTGTCTTAGAAATGCCTATTACTAACTATTTTCTATTGCAGAGTTATCTATCTACGCACTTTACTGCCTTACAGGCCTTATCTAGTTAATAGATACTAGCCTTACGAGCTGTAGCAGTAGATGGCTATATTATCTAACCCCTAATAAGAGAGCAAAGGTTAAAGTTAATAGAGAGCACTTACCTAATATTGTACAGCTACTGCAGCACCTATAGAAGGCACCTAGAGGAGAATTAGTTATTTTATAGTTAATTAGACCTTATTTCTATGTCTTTAGAGACCTATAGTCTAGGCTGTGACAGTTACTACACGTACACCTACCCCTCCTCCTTCCTGTCGTACGAACGTACTCAAAACTTCACTCGTACAGGCCTCAAAATCGCCCAATCGTATAGTAATACGCCTCGTTGGAAGCCCTGTCCCTGATACATGGTGACTATGGAAACAACTAGGAAATTGCTAACGGAATTGAAAAGACACCCGGATGAGCAGAAACAATTTCAGAGGCCACTTTAGAACGTCAAGTAGTTGAAGCTATAGTCCGCAAGGATGTTCTGAACAGCATGTGGGGGAACTAATCGCCAGCAAATGGCATGGCCATGTCGTTTCCACGCCCAGGACCGGAATAACGTGCGTCAAAGGCTGAAGATCCTGATATTGGGATAATATCTCAAATGAGTCGGAATCGGGATCACTGGGAGTGGGGAGTGGAATGTACGGCGCAGGTTTCTGTATTCAATGAGGTCACTGTAAGTTGTGTGGGGGAATGCTGTGAAAAGAGAGGTACATTGATGTATTCGAGGAGTGTAACAGGGCGAGCAGTCATAGCCTTCTGTCATAGGTAGAAAAGGCTACTTTAGGCATGAAGAGTGATATTGAAGGTAGGTTCTGAGACGGGGTGCGGGCAAGAAAGGGTAATAGAAAGAGTTTACTAGTACAGATACAGGATCGGCCAAGAAAAAACATCTGGAAAGCATGAAGGAAACTCAGCAGTCTACTGCCAGTGTGGAAGTGCCAGGAATCCGTCAGACCGTCGGGATATCACCTTCTCTCTTTGCTGCAAGCGGGGGACACCGACATCCGACATTCTTTGCCTGGGCTTTTCCTGGGTGGTCTTTACTTTCGCTGGGCGTTTTTGGTGAAAGGGTCTGACAGCACGCATTACTTTCGGACTCTTCCTCAGAATTGCCCAACTTGCGTTCTCTAAAGATTGTCCGTTGCTTACAACCGCTGCAGTGTCGTACGTTTCTTCATCGATCTCAATACGGCTTGAAATCTGGTCTATTAATCCGCGCAGTTCCTCCGGATCTGGCCATCGTTGTTGTTCCCAGACAGATGAGAGAGTCTTCAAACGCTGAACCCGATCTTTGCTTGCCTGATAGATATCTTTGTCGGGCTCAACCTTGGATTGCCTGAGAGGGTCAATCCCTTAAGGGTTGGCCTGACAGGTGGGGCAGAACTTCTTGCATGAGCTGAGAAGGGGTCATATGGTAAGCAAATCAACAAGGTACTAAGATCCAAACAAAGTGGATTGCACAAGTGTATTGTAAGGCCTGAGGAGCTTAATAGAGCTCTAGGCTGACTATATACTGTACAAGAAAGGAGCTATGCCTAATAAGTAAATAGTGCAGTACATATGTAAGGCCGGATGTCCCAGAACAGGCCAGTATGGCCTCCCCTGACCTGTTTAGAGGTCACATGACCTGTGCTTCGTATATAAGCATGAATCCTGACAAGCGAAGCTTGGCAGCAATTCATCTCTCTTACAATACACTCCTATCTTTCTCCGAAACCTTGCTCTCAGTGCTATCCGTGCTACCTACTATCCCATCTTTACAACATAGGTATAATATTGCGTAAGACACATGCAACACACCCCCTTAGCTTTAACAAAGTAAATACTAAAGTAAAGCTATACAAAAATAACTAATAAACTATAAGTATATAGTAGTGCGCTTAAAAGTGTAAAGTAGCTAAAAAAAAAATTAGTAAGCTTAAACTTTTAAGCTAATATTAGTAAAGTAAGCTTTTAAAGTATTACTTTGTCAGATTGAAGCACTGTTTCTGGGCTTCCTGAGATGAATGATGGGTTTGGATATGATGTATGGGATGATGATTGATTGTATTGATTTATCGATCCTTTTTCTGCTCTACTCGTGTTGCTCGGCTTTTGTTTTTCCGATCCGAGTCCCTCGCGCACTAGCCCTATGCGCGACCAGCTTGCAACATGCTGCAATTTGCTGCAACATGCTGCAATTTGCTGCAACATGCTGCAAAATGCTGCAACATACTGTTCGAGCTTATTGCTCGTACTATGTAGCAGCTTTCGTCAAACGTTCCTCCTTGTCACGGTATCCTCCCCGGATCCCAGACATAACCGTATTGGAAAGTATTTAATTACTAATTTCTTTCTAAACCTTTCTGTTCCTTACATAACGTCTTATACCTACTATAATACTTTATGTAGTAATTAAACTAGACCTCTGTAAAGCTCTATAACCTTACTTATGCATAATTATAACATTATGTTGTGTTAAAACTCTAGCTAAGAATAGCCTTTAAATTTAATTTAATAAGCTTAGTACTTGCATAACTCTAAGCTATTAGAGTAAGCTAAAAAGCTTTCTAAAAAGCGCTTACTTTATAGAAAAGCTGCTATGTTATAAGCTTTAAAGCTTTTTAAAAGAACTTTAAAGAATAGCTTTATGTTATTAAGTAGTCTATTTCTGCTTTAACTTTTATTATAGTAGTAAGAACTAAGAACTTACTAGCCTTAAAGCTTACTTAGAAGTCTAGAGATAGCTTAACTTTTTTTTACCTAATACTACTTATAACCTATAACTTTTCTAACTTAGTAATAAAATCTAACTAACTCTCTAATCCCCTACTATTTAATAGAAAATAGAAAAACCTACCTTTTTTTCTATGTAAGCTTTAATATAAACTTAAAGAAAATATAAACTAATTCTTTTTTAAACACTTTTAGTTACTATATACCTACTTTTAACTTAACTATAATATAACAGCCTTAATTAACTTACTAATACATAAGGATATTATTAACCTAGATTAATTTATAGTGTTTCTATAAGTAACTTATAAAGACTTAAATAAAAAGTTAACAGCTCTAAGTTACCTAAACACTTTATAATAAAAAAAAAAGCTTTACTTTACACTTTACTAAGTTCTACTAACTTACATTTAATATAGGCCTAAATAAAATAGGTCTAATTATAGCCTTATATAACTCCCTTTTAACTAAACTGTAATGTGCTATAGTAGGAGAACCCCTTCTAAATAACCTTAATGCATATGTAAACCTAATTACTACCTATAATAATAACATAAGGTTCCTCCCTATATAAGCCCTAATACACCCTTAAACTAGCACAGTTATAAATAAGGACTTTAATATAATAAAAATTAATTTAAATTATGCTCTAGTTAGTTCTAGAAAGTGTAAAAATTATAAAAAAAAAAGTTAATACTTTAAGTATAGTAAGCATAGTTATATATTTTAAAACTACTTTATTCCTCTTTTTTAAGTCTACATAAGTAGCGCTGCTAGCACTTATTAAAGATTCTTACTATTTTAATTTTATTTTTATAAAGGCTTTAACTTATATTTAAGCTCTAATTCTTTTTACTACTCTTAACATAGCTACAGCTATAGCAGTAGGAGCCTGTAAAAAGGCTTGTCTTAGGGCTAAGTTACCCTCTAGAACTAATTTAACACTAGATCTCTGCTAACTTATAGGCTAAGTCCCCTACTAATAACTAAAAGTACTAAGTTAATATTCTTATATATTTATAATAAAAAACTATATTAGCTTTAATATAAGCTCTTATTAACTTAAAAGTAAATAGCATAAGTTATATTAATAAAAAACTAGCATATAAACTAAATTTTTAATTAACACTACTTACTTAAATAATTTACTTAACTAGATTTAATAGAAAATAACTTAAAAAAAGTTTTATTTTTTGTACTATAACTATTATAATTACCTACTAACACTATAAGAAGTAGATTAAGCTTTATGTAATAAATATAAAATATTATAACCTAATTCTAAAATAACTATAGCTATATTAGCATAAAGTTGCTTTTAATTACTAAAAGTAAGTTTTAAACTTTAACTCTTTTTAATGCTAAGATATATACTTATGCTTACACCTAAATAATACTTAAGTAGCACTTAATATAAAAGGTTTTTAGACTTACTTTTTAATAACCTAGAGAAAAACTACCTAAGTAAAGCTAATAAGCTAGGCCTCTTACTAAAATAAGCTATGTAAAATAATTTAAAAATACTACAACAGTTTATAAATGATCTGTAAAAGCAAAGCTTGCTTAGAGCAATAGTTAGCACATTAAGGTAGGTGTAAGGCTAGATGTCCTAGAGCGGGCTAGTATGGCCTCCCCTGACCTGTTTAGAGGTCACATGACCTGTACTTTGTATATAAGCATAAATTCTAACAAGTAAGGCTTAGTAGCAATTTGTCTCTCTTATAATACACTTTTATCTTTTTTTAAAAGCTTACTTTTAGTGCTATCTATGCTACTTACTATTTTATTTTTATAGTAAGTTATTTAGGTTAAAGAATAGTTTATAATAATTTTTATAAATTATTTTATCTTAAGTTGCTTAGAACTTATCTAATAAGTTTTTATATTAGCTTTAACTATAACTTAACTTTATCTTTTATAGTTACTTTTATTTTTTTAAGTATTTAGTTGCACCTTTTTTTTTTTAGCTAGCTTAGTAGTTTTCTAATATTTTTTATATAAGGCTTATAGGTGTTAATAGCATTCCTAGGTTCTAAGTCCCTACGCACTTCTATATGCCTTTAACTAAATTCCTACTGCATTTAGACCTATTGTCTTGCCTGCGCTGTTATATAGTTGTTGCATAATGCTTAACAAATTAGTATTAGATAGGTAATAGACATATAATAATAATATTTAACTATAGCATGTAACTAATTATAGCCTGTAACTAAGCATAGCTAATGCTAATCTCTAACACACTAATATAGCTAAAAATATAGAATAAATATAGCTAACTATAATTTAAATATATTTTATATAATGTTTGTATGTAAGTACAGCTGTGTCTATACACGCGTATGGCTAAATTAGTGTTACGGCCAACGAACAGACCGTAATGACTCAGCTCGCTATGGCACACAGCCCTAAGCACAGCGGATGGAAGACGATTAACCCCGCGATCAGCGGACCTTATAACTGAACAGAAGAGGAATGGCGTCATCTTATGGACAAATGCTTAGCAGAATGCGTTGTCTAATAGGGACTAGAGCATTGCAGGCAACATAAACGCCGCAGGCAGTTGTAGGCAGCGCATGCAGCACCTGCAACGCATGCAAACGCATGCAACCCTGTGTATATAGTCTTAATCTTAACTATAGTTAGAAGGGTGTAATTAATGTTTAGTTTATTCTTTATAATAGACTAAGAAGCTTAACTTCTTTCTAAAGAGGATTAAGCTGCCTTGTATATCTTGCAATATATATACCTCTAACCCTTGTCTACCTAACTAGTACACGCCTAGCTACCTATACAGCTATAGGGACAAACTATAGCCTGCCTTCTTAACCCTAACTATTCTTTACTCTGCTTAACAGACTGTACACCTGATCTAGCTAAGTTCTTACCCTAACTTTACTAATACTTATATAGGCTGTTGTACTCTAGAAAACACTATTTCTCTAAAGTAAAGATTATAACATTAATTACTACCTTTTTAAAAGTATAGCACCTTACACCTTTTTTAATATTAGAATAACAGGAGCTAGTGCTGCTAGCACTAGTAAACTCCTGTTACAGAATAAGAAGGAACATAGTTAATAAATATAATATCTCTAATAAGAAATTAAAGTACTTAGAACCTAGCTTTAACAACAGCTATATGTCTAACAACTTTACACCCTTTATCTAGAAGTTGCTAAACTTTGCAACACTGCTAAAAAAAAGACTAGCATTAAGTTAAAGAAGTTACTACGCCTAGCCTTACTTAAACTATTTAACAGCATAGCTAAGGACCTTAAGCTATTCTTTACTTAATGCTACTTATACATGTAATACAACAAGGGCGCTTTCTAGACAGATAAGGAAATAATTTTATAGATAAGACTTTACTTAGAAGGACCCCTAGCTATTTAGTTCTAACTACATGCAAATAACTAGATAAAACATAAAGTAACTAAAAAAGTTTTTTTTATTTACACTTAAGAAATCTTTTAAAGCATAGACGCTTTTAAATAAGCCCTTATAACAATCTACAGGTAAGCTAACTAGAAAGAAAAGGTAGTTAATAGAATAAACACCTTATAACAAGAAAAAGGCACTGTCTAATTATATGCAGCATGCTTCTACAAACAATTAGCTATTAGCAGATAGACTAACAAAGTAGTAATTAGAAGAATGTTCTATAATAGACTATTTAATATAATTAAAAACAAATTTATGCATTACAGCAAACTAGAGAAATTTAAAGAATACATAAAAAAGGCAACTACGTATAATAATTAACATTAGGAACGTCTTTATAAGAAGCGCCCTAGCATAACACCCTAGAAACTAGAAGTATTCTAGAAAAAGAAAAAAACTTAATAATTTAACAGTAAACTAATAGATCTTAGCTATGCTAAACATACATAGGGCTTAACTAAAAAAAAGAGCAAGTTCTAAAATAGTAAAAGGCTGCTGTTAAGTACTAAACAACAGAAATAGCTTA